ACACCAATTTTTTTCCCGCTAAATTTAGCGGAAATATTGACGTCACATGACCTTAATACTAATTCTGTTTCTCGGCTAAATTTAGCGGGAAATTTGATAAAACGTGACCCAATATCACAGGACCTACACGCCAATTCAGTTTCCCCGCTAAATTTAGCGGAAAAATTGACGTCACATGACCTAAGTACTAATTCAGTGTCCCCGCTAAATTAGCGGGAAATTTGATGCAATGTGACCTGACGTCACGGGACCTACACACCAATTTTTTTCCCGCTAAATTTAGCGAAAAAATTGACGTCACATGACCTAAGTACAAATTCAGTTTCCCGCTAAATTTAGCGGAAAGATTGACGTCACATGACCTAAGTACTAATTCAGTGTCCCCGCTAAATTAGTGGGAAATTTGATGCAACGTGACCTGACGTCACGGGACCTACACAGCAATTTTTTCCCCGCTAAATTTATCGAAAAAATTGACGTCACATGACCTAAATACAAATTCAGTTTCCTGCCAAATTTAGCGGAAAAATTGACGTCACATGACCTAAGTACTAATTCAGTGTCCCCGCTAAATTAGCGGGAAATTTGATGCAACGTGACCTGATGTCACAGGATCTACACACCAATTTTTTCCCCGTTCCATTTAGCGGAAAAATTGACGTCAGATGACCTAAATACAAATTCAGTTTCCCGCTAAATTTAGCGGAAAAATTGACGTCACATGACCTAAGTACTAATTCAGTGTCCCCGCTAAATTAGCGGGAAATTTGATGCAACGTGACCTGACGTTACGGGACCTACACACCAATTTTTTCCCCCGCTAATTTTAGCGGAAAAATTGACGTCACATGACCTAAATACAAATTCAGTTTCCCGCTAAATTTAGCGGAAAAATTGACGTCAGTTGACCTAAGTACGAATTCAGTGTCCCCGCTAAATTAGCGGGAAATTTGATGCAACGTTACCTGACGTCACGGGACCTACACACCAATTTTTTCCCCGCTATATTTAGCGGAGAAGTTGACGTCACATGACCTGAATACAAATTCAGTTTCCCGCTAAATTTAGCGGAAACATTGACGTCACATCACCTAAGTACTAATTCAGTATCCCTGCTAAATTAGCGGGAAATTTGATGCAACGTGACCTGACGTCACGGGACGTACACACCAATTTTTTTCCCGCTAAATTTAGCGGAAAAATTGACGTCACATGACCTAAATACAAATTCAGTTTCCCGCTAAATTTAGCGGAAAAATGGACGTCACATGACCTAAGTAGTAATTCAGTGTCTCCGCTAAATTAGCGGGAAATTTGATGCAACGTGACCTGACGTGACGGGACGTACACACCAATTTTTTTCCCCGCTAAAATTACCGGAAAAATTGACGTCACATGACTTAAATACAAATTCAGTTTCCCGCTAAATTTAGCGGAAAAATTGAGGTCACATGAGCTAAGTACTAATTCAGTGTCCCCGTTAAATTAGTGGGAAATTTGATGTAACGTTACCTGACGTCACGGGACCTACACACCAATTTTTTTCCTCCGCTAAATTTAGCGGAAAAATTGACGTCACATTACTTAAATAAAAATTCAGTTTCCCGCTAAATTTAGCGGAAAAATTGACGTTACATGACCTGAGTACTAATTCAGTGTCCCCGCTAAATTAGCGGAAAATTTGATGAAACGTGACCCGACGTCACAGGGCCTACACACCAATTCAGTTTCCCCCGCTAAATTTAGCGGAAAAATTGACGTCACATGACCTTAATACTAATTCAGTTTCCCCGCTAAATTTAGCGGGAAATTTGATGAAACGTGACCTGACGTCACAGGACCTACACACCAATTCAGTTTCCCGCTAAATTTAGCGGAAAAATTGACGTTACATGACCTAAGTACTAATTCAGTGTACCCGCTAAATTAGCGGGAAATTTGATGCAACGTGACCTGATGTCACAGGACCTACACACCAATTTTTTTCCCCGCTAAATTTAGCGGAAATATTGACGTCACATGACCTTAATACTAATTCAGTTTCTCGGCTAAATTTAGCGGGAAATTTGATGAAACGTGACCCGATGTCACAGGACCTACACACCAATTCAGTTTCCCCGCTAAATTTAGCGGAAAAATTGACGTCACATGACCTAAGTACTAATTCAGTGTCCCCGCTAAATTAGCGGGAAATTTGATGCAACGTGACGTGACGTCACGGGACCTACACACCAAATTTCCCCCCGCTAAATTTAGCGGAAAAATTGACGTCACATGACCTAAGTACAAATTCAGTTTCCCGCTAAATTTAGCGGAAAATTGAAGTCACATGACCAACGTACTAATTCAGTGTCCCCGCTAAATTAGCGGGAAATTTGATGCAACGTGACCTGACGTCACGGGACCTACACACCAATTTTTTTCCCCGCTAAATTTAGCGAAAAAATTGACGTCACATGACCTAAATACAAATTCAGTTTCCTGCCAAATTTAGCAAAAAAATTGACGTCACATGACCTAAGTACTAATTCAGTGTCCCCGCTAAATTAGCGGGAAATTTAATGCAACGTGACCTAATGTCACAGGATCTACACACCAATTTTTCCCCGTTAAATTTAGCGAAAAAATTGACGTCAGATGACCTAAATACAAATTCAGTTTCCCGCTAAATTTAGCGGAAAAATTGACGTCACATGACCTAAGTACTAATTCAGTGTCCCCGCTAAATTAGCGGGAAATTTGATGCAACGTGACCTGACATTACGGGACCTACACACCAATTTTTTCCCCGCTAATTTTAGCGGAAAAATTGACGTCACATGACCAAAATACAAATTCAGTTTCCCGCTAAATTTAGCGGAAAAATTGACGTCAGTTGACCTAAGTACTAATTCAGTGTCCCCGCTAAATTAGCGGGAAATTTGATGCAACGTGACCTGACGTCGCGGGACCTACACACCAATTTTTTTCCCCCGCTATATTTAGCGGAAAAGTTGACGTCACATGACCTAAATACAAATTCAGTTTCCCGCTAAATTTAGCGGAAACATTGACGTCACATGACCTAAGTACTAATGCAGTGTCCCTGCTAAATTAGCGGGAAATTTGATGCAACGTGACCTGACGTCACGGGACGTACACACCAATTTTTTTCCCGCTAAATTTAGCGGAAAAAATTGACGTCACATGACCTAAATACAAATTCAGTTTCCCGCTAAATTTAGCGGAAAAATTGACGTCACATGACCTAAGTAGTAATTCAGTGTCCCCGCTAAATTAGCGGGAAATTTGATGCAACGTGACCTGACGTGACCGGACGTACACACCAATTTTTTTCCCCGCTAAAATTATCGGAAAAATTGACGTCACATGACTTAAATACAAATTCAGTTTCCCGCTAGATTTAGCGAAAAAATTGACGTCACATGACCTAAGTACTAATTCAGTGTCCCCGTTAAATTAGCGGGAAATTTGATGCAACGTTAACTGACGTCACGGGACCTACACACCAATTTTTTTCCTCCGCTAAATTTAGCGGAAAAATTGACGTCACATTACCTAAATACAAATTCAGTTTCCCGCTAAATTTAGCGAAAAAATTGACGTCACATGACCTAAGTACTAATTCAGTGTCCCCGCAAAATTTAGCGGGAAATTTGATGCAACGTGACCCGACGTCACGGGACCTACACACCAATTCAGTTTCCCTGCTAAATTTAGCTGGGAATATGAATAATCTGCAGGTCCCTCGACGTCAGGTCACGTGACAACAATTTTTCCGTTAAATTTAGCAGAAAACTGAATTGATGTATAGGTCACGCGATGTCAATTTTTTCAATAAATTTAGCTGGGAACCTGAATTTCTCTGAAGGTCACGTAACTGCATGTCATGCGACATCAATTTTCCCGCCAAATTTAGTGGGAAAACAGAATTTGTGCAAAGGTCACGGGACGTCAATTTGTTTGCTAATTTTAGCGGTGGAGCTAAATATTCTGTGGGTCACGTGTTAATGTCACGAGCGACGTCAGGTCACGTGACATTAATTTTTCTGCCATATTTAGCTGGGAAACTGAACGTTATGTAAAATTTTCTGCTAAATTTAGCAAGGAAACTGAATTGATGCAAAGGCCACTTGACGTAAAACTTTGCGCTAAATTTAGTGGGGAACCTGAATTCGCAGGTCCCGTGATGTCAGGTCAAATACATTAAGTTTCCCATCAAACTTAGAGTGGAAGCCTTACTTTCGGTTATGCTCACGCCATTGCGAAACCGGGGGACGAGCCACCAAGGGCTGCCGCCGCTGTAGAAGTTTTTTTTTCTTTTTCCACCGGAGATGAAGATCAAGCTGTTGAGTACTGACATGAGAACAACCAGCCTGTCCAAAATGCAACATTTATTTTCTCCCTTTAGTTCCGCTGATTTTTAAAACATGGGAACATAACAGGGAAACCTTCAAGGCATAAAGCTAATGGGCTATATATTTAATGACCGAACAATCTCGATTATTATACTGAATATTGAATAATCAAATATTTACAGAACCGAATAACTGAGCAGCTTATTCAGTTATTCGAATATCTGGTTATCCGATTTTCAACTTCGAATAATTCGTTAATTCGAATAACCGGATATCTTCAAAATCGGTTTCTACTGCTGGCACTAATTGACAGTCTCCTGCTCCCAGAGTGCACATGAACCGCTAGGGGCGCTGCTAGTTTGCATATTGCCCATTGTCAGAGATCAGTGACTGAGCCCAATAAATACATGGTGACGACGGCACCCGTCCAACTCTCACCCTTTAAAATCCGTTTGAATCAAAATTAAACATTACACTTCAGTATCTGTATCTTTATTCTAGGATCCATTCTGATAATTGTTCTCAGAAGCACCTTCCAGAGTATTTTAATACACCAAATAAATATCCGTCTATGTATTTCTAATTTAGCTTTTTAATACACATGTATCTCGGGTAACTTACAGCTTTCTTCTCTCGTTTCAGGTGCAGTTGATCAAGCAATATTTTCCAAACTGCATCTACCTCGAACAAATATCTTTAGACGATGTGACATGCCAGTGCCACTCGCGTTTTTTTCTGGCGATGACTTCGCTCGTGCGAGCTTATTACCCGTAAATAAAAGCCCTAATTCACACACCGCTCCCCGATATTCCTGCACATCTTCTTTCCCGCTGCACACCCAAAGATTCAACCAGTGTTCTAAAAAGGGGCCCCCAGCAAACAAGAGTATTTTGGATGAGCTCGAACCACCCACTAAGAAAAATTGTGTCATCATGGTGTCATCAGAAAGTGACGTGATGTCGGGAGCTTGATGCTCACCGGTCACCATGGAGGTAGGAAGATTCTGGAGGCGACATGGCGCCACCAGAGGTGAAGCCCGGGAAAATTCCGGTTTGGAGTGACACGCCCCCAACGATGACCAAAACCAACAGACGCTATTGGACGGACTTGGGCACTCTTGGGGGGGCATTCCCACCTACTGCGACCTCTACTTCCGGCTTCACTCTGGATTTTCTCGTTTGGCTGGCTTGAGCCGGTATGTCGCCTCCTCCAATTCCTACCTCCATGCTGGTCACCCACCGCCAATTTCAGCGATTGGTCAGCAGCGTGCACTGCAGGAAAGTGAACGAGCAGGCTTTTCTCGAGTGTACTTTGCGCGATTTCACGCTTTTTAATATGCCTTGTTTTATCATATGTGACAGAATAAAAGTAGCATCTGTGTTAGAGCGTGACCGACTGCTTACGATAAAACGTATCGGCATGCCATCTATCGGGGAACCCTGGCCCACTTTTGGTGTCCCTATATTTCCTAAATTAAACAAAAGGTCTGTCAGTACTTGCGAGGTCAACTCTATGCACTGATAAGTAATTGCTTATAACACTGTCAGGATCCATTTCAAACCCATGGTTAAAAAAAGATGCGTAAAAAAATTGGGAAATGTACACAGTCTAGAGGAAAGCCAGGGTTAGGCGCTAGATAGAACCGGTATGTCATATCTCGTCATTAGCAGTCCAGCAGCTGCAACACAGTGTATCCCTCTCAAACAATGTGTGAACAAGTCCTACGGAAGAAAAGTGACAGAGGCAACCTATGTCATCCCAAGGACAGACCACCTACTTCATCAGTCCTGTTTTCAACTATTTTCGAAATGCATAATAAACTCACAATCTACAAGTGATCAGTTGTTGATAGCCATGGTTGTGTTTGCCCAACTGTACTTACGTCTCCGGTCAGGTTTCACCTAAGTTTGTGCAAAGTGTGAACGACTTCTGAACAAACTTGGGTCCAGGACGCCATGTCTTACAATATCGATATTCAAGTCAAGATGTTCGAGCAGCAGACGACTGAAGAGAGCTGGACATCATTCTTCGGAAAAGAGCTTGGATGTCAACCATGCAGCCCGCTCAATGAGGCGATCTGCTGAAGTTTGTGTTCTCAACTGTGGCTTAGCCTTCTATGTTTAATTGTGCATTTCTGTCACATCGGTACCACATTTTAGCCAGGATGGACAAGAGAGTGAGGTAATTGCGATGCATTTAACTCTATACTTGTTTCACATTCAGACCAGTTATTTGTTCGAATTGGACGTTTTTTAGTGATTTATACAGCGTAAGGTTGGTCTGCCAGTAGGGGCGACACTGGTTTACACTGTAGATGAGCAATTTTGCCAGTGCAGTACGACTGCTAACCTGGGGTCTTTAACGTGCTCATGCAGTAGTGATACACGACCGCACGCCGGTACGATGCTCATCCAGATCGAAACGGGCAGGGGTGGGGCTCGAACCCAGAATCCCTGGGTTCTGCAGGGATCCTGGGTTCGAGCCCCACCAAGGATATTGATATCGATTTGCTGGAACCACTGAAACTGCAAGGACTACAGTGAATTTAAAAGATTGTTTGCGTTTTTTTTTTTTTTTTTAGGTATCGCTACAATTTGAAAGTAAGCAATCAAATACTTAGAATGAACCTAGAAACAAGAGCACAATGGCGCCAATGACAGAGCAATCGCATGACTGCAGACTGAACCTTGTGCCGACTGTTGGGCGAGTTGGTGCTGAATTTGAGAATACATGGGAGCGCTCGAAGACGAGGACAAAAAGAGGAAAATGCAGAGTGGTTTCCAGTTATCCTCCTTTCATCTTTGTCTTGGAGCGCTACCATGTAATCTTGAAATGAACCCCGTAACTCTTATTGTGTTGCAGGTTGCCCCGCTAAGGTTATTAATGAGGGAACACTATTATATTTGATGTGCTGTTTGCAGACCCCCATAAACAACGTTACACCTGTTTTCAACACCAATTGTTATAAAACCCAAGAAATATGGGACCTTTGAGAAACAAATGCCAAAGTATTTTTACTGCAATGAAACAGTGTTCTTGTTCAATGCTTGTCACTTACACATCACCAAAAAGGACTGAAATGCATACAGTGCCCTCAAACTACACTCTACTACCTGCTGGTAAACTGATGCAGGTGGAGTGTGCCACCAATCATGTAAATATTGCACATACCTAGCACTGCACAATATTCCACCCAGATAAAAAAATAGTGTTCCCCAACCCTGAGGAAATAAAAATGGCACGCAATTCTGTGCATGAACAGACACCACTGAGAAATCTATGTCCCCGTCACTGCATCAAAACAGCCTTGTGCAGAATGCCATCACACAAAGCCTACCTGCACTTATTGCACTAAACGAAACAATGCACAGAAAGCAATGGGCGAGCACACATGGGCATAGTGCCTGCTTGCACACATTTGGACACGCACTCTCACTGACACAACACATACAACCTTTTTGTACCCAGAGGCCCAAAATGAGTATTTTCAGTTAACTTAATTAGTATAGACAACTGGCAAACGTGGTCGCTCTCTTCCAACCTAGCGAACAAAGATATGGCACGAGTGAAGTGAGACCAGGTTACGATTTGACACAGGTTGCACCCAAAGGAAGTGGGTCGACTGCGACACTTCCGGCAGGAAGGGGCTAAATCCAATTCCAGAACACAGCTCGCAAACCGCGGAGCACTCGTATTGCAAGATTTCTCGTTGGAAAGTTTCATAAAATTGAGACATAGGCCTGCTTCAGACGACACAGTTTTACCCAGTGCACTGACGTCTCAACTCCTCCGGCATTTGCGCTCGGCAACCGCTATAGCTTGAAATGCTACGATTTGACAACGTCGTCGTTAAAATTATGATTTTCTTTCACCATTTAGACAGGAAGCTACGCATAAACAACATTCTTTTAAGACTTAAAACTGCACCGAGAATAATAAGTGATTTCCCCGATATCATTTAGATGTGAAAATGATCAGCTGCAAATTAAAACAATGTTAAAACCCTGCACTCAGTCATCATCACCATCACAGGAAAATGTGAATGTGTTTCAGATGAAAAATAGCTTAACCCTGATCAACAGCTGCCTCTTGAAAGGGTCCCAGAATTCTTGGAGCTGCTCACCCGTTTGAAGTCGGACCGATCCGAGCAACGCGTGTTGCGGCGCGAGGATATAGGGAACAACCCACCGGCAACACCGAAATCGCCGGGACAATCCACAATTTGCAAAATAGTGCGCGCCGCCTATCGCGCAACGCCGGAAACTTCTACATTTTGGGTGCGAGGCTGGAAAGTGGTTGGAATACAACTAGGCTTCGCGATGCATGGTTTAGCTTGATACATGTGGGGCATAAAGCTGGTGCACGCAGTCTATTCCAAGCGTTGTCTCGAGAACCAGATTGAATAGTGTGTAAAATTCCCTCCAGGAGCGTACGAAAACGACGCACCCGTGACAAAAGGTGCACTGCAGATCTATCAGTGCTCGTTCGGCTGCCATGGTGAGTCGTCCATGTTCCTTCTCCTCACGGCAGCTATCCGAGCCTGTCTTAGCAGAATACAGCCTGGCAGACGGAAATCTAAAAAAACTTGGCGTTTTCTTTGCCATAAAAGTAATTCGCACAACCATACGCAATACAGTGCACCGGCATGGTGACAAACGAAGCGACTCGCGAGCTTTCTTCGTCTTGCTCACGGTGTCCTCGCTTCCGTGCCTCTGTTGCAGCCTCGGAATAGCCGGCAAGCTTATTTGTTTTCCAACCAAACAGGGGGCGCTAGCAACACGCTCTGCTCGCGCAAGCGCAGCAGCTTTTTTGCAAATTGTGGATTGTCCCATCCGAAGCGGGCCTCGGGGAATGCCTTTAGCAGACACTGCCGGGCAAGGACGTCCGGCTTGAGAAAGACTGCAGACAAGCCGCGAGCCTAGTCCGACAAAGACCTCGTTTCCCGCTCGCGCTCCAAAAAAAAAACGCCCAATCATGACGACCTAATAAAAGCTGGGCAGAGAATGGAATGTGCACGAGTTTAGAAAGCCACAATGCGCCGAACACTTCGAAGATGGCCACAGACCTTCTGCACTTCTCTAGATGCAAGCACCCCCGTCGCGCACCAAACAGCATCTAACCGAGTCTCCGGCCGGGGCACCACCTCTCCCCGTCTTAGCAACGACAAGCTCGCAGCATTCCGAAAGGCTACGCAAGTTCGACCTAAAAACCTCCAAATGCGCTCCGGACTACGCGCGAGCCCGGGTACAAAAAAGCAGACTCGGCGTTCCACGCCGTCTGTGCAAAAGACTCCCGCCAGTGCAGGATCCGGTCGTCGCACAGGTATGGTGCCTGGAAATGCATCTTCGACCGTACCCCCCATGCGTCGAAAGTGGTTCCCAAGAGAAAACAGGAACCACGGGGGCCGTCGCGCCATGCCGTCGGACTTCACGCGAGTTAGAGCGAATACACGCGTCGCCGCTCTCCTGGTGTCCAAACTCCTAGCTGCCGACGCTTATGTGAACAGGTGAGTGACCCATAGCAGAACGGGTGTCTCGTCGTAGCCACCTACGGCAGAACAGGGCGCAGCACGAACACCGGTGGAAGGTGCGTTCTAGGCACTGTAGCGCAGGTGCCGGCAGAACCCCCCTGCGTCAACGAAACCCTTAACGCCGGAAAACGTGGCGCAGCCGTCCCTCGGCACGGCCTTCCGCCGCAGTCTCCGGGGAGGCGCACGACGCAGCGGCACTCAGAGGGCGTCTGCGGGGGGTCACACGAGGGCGGGGTGCACCACCGAGTTGTTGTTGGTCCGGACGGCCCTCCGGTTGTTGTCGTTGCAATCCGTGTGGTCGAGCAGGTAGCTCTCTTCCAGGTCCACCTCGAAGCCGGGGTTGGCCACCACGTGCGGGGCCTGGGACTCGTCCTGTTCCCGGGGCACCACCAGGGGCTCTGGGAAGAGAGGGAGAAAATCTGTCCCGACCTCTGCCATCCTTGTTCGGTTCTCAAGGTGCTGCTCCTCGGAGCGGGCGCCGAGCAAGCGGGCGCATGGCCGGAACGTCCGGCTTGGCTAGCACAAAACGGGTGCGTTCCGCACGTAGGAGCGGCATGTCGTGCCCCCCTGACGCGGGACAGCCCGACGTGGCCAGGAGCCCACTCGGCTTGCCACCGAAGAATGCCGCCGACGAGAGGGTGCTTAGAGGCGCAAATGCACTGCAGGTCGTGCTGCGCCAATAGCTGCCAGTATGTGCCTGGAACAAGTCTCCGACTGGTGCACTTATGGCATCCTTGTGTGTGGTCCCTCGCTTTTCTACCAGATGGTGTCGCACTTGTGTTGCGCCGTTACCGGCAGCGTTCCTGGCGGTGGCGCGGCAGTGGGGGCAGATACGACGAACACCCGTTCTGCCCTGGGTCAAACTGCAGCCAGACGGGTGACGGAAACTAAAACAGACAGCGTATTTACACGAATGTAGGTTGACCCATTTTAAAATTGTTTAAAATCTGAAGTGGGGGTCGATTTATAACTGAACCAAAGCATTCCACCGCCGACAAAAACAAAACAATCGCGACATCAAGAACACCTCGGCTTGCTACAAGTTCAGCCGGCTGTACCTGTAGCATTGCGCTATTCTGTGTGCTGATTTTACTTTTTTTTTTTTTTTGCTCCAACAAGTATTATTGACAGCAATTCGCAAATTAACACGAATGTACGGTGGTGAATAGCACACGCACGCCCGACTCCCGGGGGTGGCAGCACTTCATGTAATAAACACTCCAGAGGCTGCTGGAACAGCCTCACCTGGCCTCATGGCTCACTCCCTGCGGCTTCTTTTCACAGTTTTTCGCACGATTCACGGTCGCACTCGTTTGATCCAGTGTCGAGATCCTGCTGGAGCGCTAACTACGATTTTTTTGTATTGACACACGTGATCCGGCCAGTTTAGATTTTCGGTGCTTGTTTATAGTCATTCTTCACTCAGAAGCAACCAACAACTGCGCTGCTGGACACGTGATGCTCCGGTGGAGTCTGCAATGGCACGGGATCTTAAACTGTAATGGCAAACGAAGAGGCCTCCGCAGGCGAACGTCTGGTAAGGTGGAGATGCCTTCCGGAGATGGAGGTCAGGCTTGCAACGTACGCCGCAAAAGTGCGCAATCGGTGCCTACCCGTGACGTGCAACACGATCGCCGAGCAAGCGCAGAAAATGTGGCTGATGCTGTCATTTGCGAAGTGCGAGATTTCGTTGGATGATGCCGCCGACGTGCTTCGAGAACGTAGCAGTGATGACGACGGGACTGACATCACCAGTGCGGAAGGGTCGTAGTCTAGTCGCGGATGGAGTGAGAACAACAGGGAGCAGTTTCAGCTGTCCCGCCTCCAGCGTGATTCCCAGTTTCGATAACGCCTGGGCATCTCATGCACCTCACGCATGAATGCGCAGCCAAAGCACGCCAGAAGGCATAGACTGCGTGTTGGAGGCTGGGCTTTCAAAACAGATACTTTGCTGTTCTCACGCGTTCGCAATAAAATGCACATGTACGTTTTTTTTTTGCTGATGTGCAATGTGTGGGGGTTGAATTTCAATCGTGTAAACACGATGCAATCCCGGCGCCAACTGCCAAGATCACGACGTCCGACAGCCATGACACAATCGATCCCCGCTTCAACACCACCCTGGATGCACCGGCGGTGTGGGGTCACCAGACACGCTACTTAAAGACGCGTTCCATGCACCGATGCATTGAGGAAGGAGCGAACACCGACCTGGGGCGTCCTGCCGCCGACTTGTGAGGAGGCAGCTGACGCAGGACAGCACCAGCAGGGTCCCCGTGACCAGGCACAGCACCCAGGCGGCCGTGCTCAGGTCCTCCCCGCCCTCGCCCGTAAGCAGCCTCCGCTCTGCAATGAGGTGTTGGACAGGGGCCCTATGACGAGACCTCCGGGCGTTCGGGGGTCCGAGTTCAGACACCACGAGAGCAAGATCCAATTTTCCTCTCGCAGAGCGAGCGAATATGGCGTTTGTAGACAGTTCGTCTGCTAACACGAGCAAAATATTCAGTTCGTCTGCTACGAAGCGCCGTTTGCGGATGGAAATAAGATGAGCAAACGCCGTATGTCATCGGCTAACAGATTAGAAAAAAATTGATAGACTGCTACAAACTAAGCGCAGAGATCACGACGTCCGCTGCCAGGTGCACGCAGGCTAAGTGGAGTGAGGTCGGACGGGGGCGGAAATTGTGATTGCCGCAATTTTGCGCTGGAAGTCATTGACAACTCGCGCTTCTTTTGCAAACCTCAAGTCGTTCTGCTGTCGTATACAAGCCGACATTGATTGGTAGATGAAGGAGTACTAGGACAAGCACGTCGGAGGCTGCGAGACCTTTCTCGCTATTTGGGAGTTGGTGAGAAGGTCTCTCCAAACTTTTGCCTGATTTCGAACACGTGCAAAAAATGTCTCCTAGGTTGATTATGGGCAAGCTGTGGGGCCACGTCCAATCGGAGGTGGAGAACACTCTTGCTCTCACCTTGACCAAAATCGAACTCCAGGTGCAGTACCCCAGTCGTAAGGTGCTGGACCTGGGGTTCGCCTGTTAAAACAAGGGACGCGGCTGCCGGGCGTCTTTACCTGGAACATCGCATGTCACACCACCAAAGGCGAGGCAGACGAACGTGAACACCAGCATTCTGTGTTCGAACACGTTTATAACAAACACCGCAAGACCAACAGCAGCATTAGTTGTTTGTGTCATTTAGGCATGCAATTGGAGTGCAAAGCATCAAACGAGCAAAAAGAAACATGCCTACCAAGTGGTGAAGCATCTGCACGACATACAGTAAAACCCTGTTGATATATTTTTCGGGGGACCATATAGAAAAAATATGATCCAAAACAATGTAACAAACTAACGCTTTTGGGGGACAAAGATTAGGCAGCAGTTTATGAACTTTTGCAGCTGTGAAGAATTACCATATTTACTTAAATAATAGGTTGACTTTCTGTTGGAACTGTCCTTTAAAGGGGTACTCTGGCGATTTATTCATGGCCCCTGATTTGCCTGAAAATTTGCTAAACACACACACGAACCACTGAAATTGTGTGCAGAATATTATGTCAAAATATTTGTTTTCTATGAAGTTATTGAATTTACAATTTTGGTCCTCACCGTGTTTTTCAAACTGAAAGTCTCTACTGACAACCACAAAAGAGTGACACCAGTGGAAGGCATCGGTTCACTCTTTGGACTGTAGACTTTGTTCCCAACTGATTCCAAGCAGTTTCATGATGTCAAATCAATGCATTGGACGCTCGATCCAGTACCCACGCTCCAGCACAAAACAAGTGCTAGGCATAGTTAATTTTGTAAACTGCATGTTCGACTAACAAGACTGCCTTCAACAGACGTCACAGTACTGAAAAATGTGGGTATATTTGAATGTTGGTTTTTGCAACATTTTTATTTGCCTATTTCACAATAGGCGTATCCATTACGGATTTCGCGATACTAAATAGCATATCAGAAAAGGGTAATTAAAAAAAAATATACACTAAACCTTGAGAGAAAAAACTTTTTTTTTCTACCTGGTTAGAGTTGGCAAATTTCAAAATAAATATTTGTTGAAAAAAAAACACCTTTTTTGACCAATATTTATGCTACATAATGAATTATTCGATTTGCGGGTGAAATTTAAACTGTGCCCATGTGCGATGATGATGCTAGCATTTGTACCCAACTATACTTCATCTCAGAAGCTCCAAGAAGCATTGTGTAAGCTGCCAGGTGCATGCAGGCTAAGTGGAGCAGACCACAATAAAGTTATGTGGTGCGCGATGTGTTTTCCTCCTGTACCGCTCAAGAGAACAGAAAGGTGCATGCTTCTAAATTGCTTTGACCATGCCTAAATCCAAACCGCCTTCCTTTGTTTGTCCGAATCCTTCGGCGAGGAATTTCGGTTTTGCTCTAACACGCAAGCAAGAGATCCTACAAACAATCGCACGCAGATTATTAGGAAAGGTTAAGCGAAAATATGTCATCCTTAAAAGAGTAGTTTGTTTTGTCACGGAAGATGTCTGAATATATTTTATAACGAAAATCAAAATTTGCTTTAGGTTTGAATTCAGACGAAGCGGAGGTAAGTTGCCAGGAGGTGCTTTGGTTCCCACAAAATGGCAGCTGCCGAGCTGCCAATTTCGTGCCGCACGAAAATCTAAGAGTAGCCTGGCATGCCGCACACCATGGGCGTGTACCGTGGTGACCAACGTTTGAACGGGGTCTGCACAGTATCGTTTGTATGATGTGTAATTAATGGGACCCGGGCTTTCTGGTCGCACACCTGGCACGTTCAAAATTACAGTGTCGACAACGAGCAGATGATGGATCACCCAGCATTTCATCGGTTCCCCAAAAATAAAGCACACCGTATCCCAAAGATGTACAGTGGCTCAATTTTTAAATAACATCAAGCAAGTGTCGACCACCGGGACGGCCAGCGCCGTGCCGCACAGGCGTGCGGCGAAACGGGAAAGATTAAGTGCGTGCGCACAAAGCCCTTTCTGGGGGGAGCGTCGTCTGCTAGGCTATTTCGTTGATCGCACATGGCCCCTGCTCCGTACCAAAGGAGGGCAGGGCGCTTGCAATGTCAAAGCGCATCGCCGATACGCCCGTCCTCTTGGAATGCGTTCACAATCCTATAGGGAGTATTCACTGGCGGCCATAGCTGTGCGCGCGGCTGCTGAGAGCGTGCTGACGGCGAGCTTCCACAGTTCTTTGGCGACGTGCATTCCGCACCATCACGATTGCCGGTCTTAGCAGTTCATTAATGTGGGCTCATTCTGAGCATGTGCTCTGAACATCGCCCTCAATCATGGCGTCCGGTGAATACCCTTTATTGACTGTAACCCTGACTGTTGTTGCTGTATCCCTTTGCGTCATGCCGCCCATCGACATTCTCACAACACGTTCCCGTGTTTCTATAGGCACTCGAGGAGGCATAAAAACGTGCGCGTGCCCGCTGGTCAAAGAAAAGTGTGACTACCCGGCTACATAGACTAGATGACAAGAGCAACAACGCAGTTGATAATACAAAACACCAAGCGGAAACTCTGTTTATACTCCGTTTTTCTTTGCTTTGTACCGCAGCCGACGCTACGAGCCATCTTGGCCAGTCCGTCGCTAAAAGTTTGTCACATGGCCTTCCCGTTGGCACAACTGCACGTGAAAGCACGATGTCACGTGGCATGGTGAAAGCACTGGACTGGTTTGATGGCTCGTGGCATTGTTAGCACTATATGGTTTAATGCATTGTTGCATTCAGTTTGTTGTGTCACCGTATTTTTCATTTTTGTTGGTGTTCACAAAAGTAAACGCAAACACGAAATAAAAAAAAATTAAATTAAACTCGAGATGAGGCGCGGTTTATGCCACGCCTGAGCAGTATCGAAAAAAAGAGAAAATAAAAGCAAGCGCTGCTCAGATATTTGCTTAAAGGCGGTTAGCTATGCCAGCAGAAAATGAACAGGGGTTGTGTGCGGTCAATGGAATAGCTTAGCAGACGACACTCGCAATGGAAAGAGCTTTGTGCGCACGCGCCTAATCTCTCCCGTGACGCCACATTTCTCCGCGGCACAGCGCTGGCCGTCCTGGCGGTCGATGCTCGCTTGATATTATTAAAAAATTGGGCCACTCTACTTGCCGTAACAAACTAGCACCTTTCGCTGGCATTAATGTCAACCGTTAAAATCAATGAAGCGGCGATTCTAATGGCCTTTTTCAGGGTCTGGCCACGATCATGGCGCGCCCTCGCAAGAATCGCTCGAAACACTTTTGGGGGCTACGGGCCCGTCGTCCGTGCCAGCGTCTGGCGTGTCTCCCAATCCGTGTGTTTACGTGTTCTCTTGTTCAGTCTTTTGCCATTCTGAACGCGTCTTTCTGTCCTTGCTCCACGTGCTTATTTTCTTCGAAATGGCTGCGGACGACCCTGGAGGATTAACAAAGGCCACCGTCAACGATACGGACGACCTCATTCGTCTTTTTACCTTCAAAGATAGATGGACCGCCGACACCGCATCGATTCCTAACGTCGACTAGGAGTCACTCAATCGTCACTTCGGTGTCGCGTCGTGCAAGCAACTAAAAAAGGGGACGGCTTTCGGGGCAAAGTGGTATGTACGGAAAGTAATCGTGACAAGTCTCGATAATGATTCAACCATCTACCTTGTGTGTGCACTTTGTTTATGAGGCCACACCACTACAAACAGCCGATTTCGCTCCGATTGAGTACCCAAGTTATTCGAGCTTATTGCATTCCGTCACTTCGCTGTCCTGTGTACTGCGCAAGCGCACGGGGTGTCGCCGTACCCGGGGCAGTGTAAACAAACTTGAACGGGATGAAATCTGGGCTGTCTCCATGTCACGAAGGCTCGCCTGCACCATCAAAAAGTAAAAAATATGGCAGAATCTCTCTATGAATTCAGCACGTTTACGAACATCCGACGAAGTGGGTCCTACAAATGGGAGTTCACGGTTGGTTGCCAAGGTATTCTGTCAGGGATGTGTCGCCATAAGGCTTAAGTAAATTTCGCACTCACTAAATGTATTGCCAGTGACTAATAATTTTTTTTCCATTTTTAATGTCACAAGACGTGAATGTGTATAGCACACGCCTGAAGAACAGAAAGCTTTATCAACAGTCATTCTCTACTTGAGTGCCGGACATGGAATGACTACAATACACAAGCTCGCGTGCACACTTACTGTCTTTTAGTTAAAAGCAGAATGTCCCGCTGTCTTGTTAAGACCTGGCCACCTGACACGGGGGATTTGCGTCATAGGCTTCAGAAATAGGGGCTTTTGAAAGCGAGGCAAAAAGGGCGGGGTGTTTTCAAGCACCATCCACAAAAGGCTGCTGGAACTCTACAAACTCTTGCATTTCAACCATTTTTGCTGCTATTTGTGCAAATAAACAGCTGTGCAGTGGTGAGGCATGATGACTATGAAGCCAAGCTGCGAGAATAGTGAAGGGTGTCAAGCCGAACCAGCGCTGTCTGAATGACTGAGAGGACGAGAGAGAGCCCCCAAAAAAGGTGCCTTTCCCTTTCCTCCCTCCCCTCTCTCAGAATTGGCGCATGAGCCAAACAATCTCTGAAAAAGGTCAATTAACAGTCGCGGCTAAAGTAGAAAAGAACAAGAAGAAACAGATAGAACAAAGAGAAAGTAAAAGTGTGTAGCGATAAAATTTTGTGATGTGCTCGCTCTGCCAACTGGCTGAAGAGCATACAGCTTCCATTGCGCTGCATGGAACTTCTGAGATGGAGTATAGTGTACGCTCTGAGGAACAGCGAATCCAGAGTGCACACAAGTTGGCTACAAGTGCTATCATCATCATCCCATGGGGGTACAGTTTCGGTTTCGCCCGCAAATCGAAAAATTCATATTGTAACATAAATATTGGGCCAAACATTTTTTTTTTTCCCTCCAAACAAACATTTATTTTGAGGCATGTCTTTTTTAACTAAGTAGGAAAAAAAGATTTTTTTTTCCTAGGTTTAGTGTGTTTTTTTTATCTATTAAATTAATAGTTGATCCATCACTGTAACCAAAAAAACTCTCGACCTGTATGAGTGAGTAAAATTTCAGACCCCATCGAAGTAATGCAGATGCTCCCATGCGTCAGCAACTGCTCCTTGCGTCCCGGTGCAAAGCACTGAAGCTCGACTACAATGCCGGCGCAAAGCGGGAAAGCTCGGCACGCGTGCCACCGTAAAATGGTGAAGCACGACGTGCGCACCAGTGCAAAGTGCAAACAGTGCAAAGTGCAAACTTGGCTGTTTGCAAACCAGTGCAAACAGCCAAGTTTGATGCATGTGTCATTGCGCAATGGTGATGCCTGACCGGTGGCCTCATCTCCCATCAAAACCAATCACAACCCAGTCAAACTAAAAAAATGGGGAGGGGCACTCACCAGAGGAGGCACCCCTGGGGCTGGCGGTGGAAGCGTACACTGTGCTGGGCTCTCCCGGTCCCAGTCGGTTGGAGGCCCACATGCGGAACACGTATGCCGTGCCTGGCTGCAGGTGGTACACAAAGAACTGCCTCTGCAACAAGGGGGCCACAACAACAACTGTTCAAAAAACAAAACATGTTTGGAGTGTTTACATAGGTCATCTACAACACAAAATAAACAAAATAAACTTTCCCAGTAAAACAAAATTTTAGTGCAATATATATGCTGCGAGACGCAGCCGGCCTTTTTCGCCGCGTGTGGTGCCCTCCTGTGCTGTACCTGAGAAGCGGTTGAAAACGTCCATGTGGGCACAGTGAGTGCTCGTTTGCTTTGTGTGCCTCTAACCACTTTGCTCATAACTCTTCGTTTTGCTCTGGAGTGCGAGAGGGAGCGTTGCCCGGCACAAGCTCTCGGCAATGACAGTGCTACGGCAGCATTTTGTCTCTAGTTATCTCTTTATATTTTTCGTACAAGTGAGTGCTGTTGGCATCGAGTACTACAAATAATGGCGTTGATCTGAATGGAAGGACATTAAGGCACCCTAGCCCATAGTTGCCCGGAGGCTCAGTTTTTTTTGTGTGCGTTTTGTGTGCGTCTTGGCGTTCGGTAGACTGCATTGCACGGAGCTGATCTGGCAGCCTGGCGTGGCCTTTGCTTTCGCTAGGGTGTGTTGGGTTCAGCGTACTAACATTAAGCCGCAACATTAAGATGTGTGGGACAGAAAAGCTGCAATGATCACCTCACAGCTTTCAACAAGGATAAGCTCCACTGGCAGTATGATCACATAGTGGCTGAAGCATCCAAACAGTGAACACTGGAATGGCTTCCCATGCTGAAGGAGAGATGCGCATGTGCAGTGCAGCCTCATGAAAGTAGCCCACAGATCGGTCGCCCCGCCCGTTACTACTAGATTGACTTGGCTGCTTGACCAAAGACGCACGCAAGCCTGATGTCTCCTTGTCACGACGTCTGGTTCGTCTAGTCCGGCGTCTGGCATCGTCTGCTACCTGTGCCAAGCAGCAGCACTGCGGCGTACGGCACCGCATTTCACCGTCTGCTACTCTGCCTCCCTCAAATACTGCCTATTTACTCTGCCACCCTCAAATACTGCCTCAAATACTGGATATTACAGCGCCTTTTCTGTGGTTGTGTCTGGCAGAAGGTGCTTCTGCCAGACACAACCACAGAAAAGGCACTGTAATATCCCATCATGCACAAGCCACGGTTTAGTACAAGCGCCTTTCGGCATCTGTTAACCCTCTAACCACCAAGTTATTTTCGAAAAAAATGTACAAACTTTTCCAAACTTTTTTATCTCCACATATATTTCTTATGTCGTTTTGATTTTGCAAATACATTACTTGATTGGTTTCTGATTGGTATTAACACAAAACTTTTAAAAGAAAAAGTTGATTTTTATGGAAGCTTTCCCTCAGTGCATGTACGAGTAATAGAATAACACGTGCTGAAATGTGCAGTATTTATTTGAACATACGCACCATAACAAAAGATTGAGTGCCCAGACGTTTCTCCGCACTAGCGCTTACAAAGTTCCGTAAGTAACGATTCCTTGCAAAATTATTAGCGCAAGGAACACCATCATCTCTTCGCGGTCCACCGGTTTCCATGAAGAACCCCGCGCTGTGAAATGCGGGACTGCGTAGCAGTTTGTCTCTCTCACAATGAGGGCAACAAAATCCCAATCAAAAAAAAAAAGACCTAGAATTAGCCGAGTATGTCTTTTTCGTCAGAGGGTTGCCGCAGAATCCCAGGCACTGCACAAAACGGAAACCTCGGAGGCACGGGTGGCGAGTTTTCAGTGTTTACGTGTTGCCACACTTGAACATTACCCAGCGCGTCAACTTCTTCGTCACTGTGGTCGTCGTCTAAGTCCGTTTTATCTTCAAAATCCATGTCAGACTCACTTTCAGAGACAAATTCGATGTCTTCATCATTGCTACTGTTCGAAGTGCCGCAAGAGAGAGCCCATTTCCGAGGGCCGTCACAGGCATCACACAGCTGCCATTTACGATCACTGTTGCAAGGCTAGATACGTGCCAAAGGCCAAAACACGCTATATTTACGGGACTCTACAGCCCACCAGTATTGAAAATTGAAACTAAAGTCGATGGACGAACCTGTCTCGTGTTTGGCAGTGAAAGCAAACCATCCTTTTGGCTGGACAAGTGTGACTCGTCATCGGCGATAATAGTACAACCTTCCATGACGAGTGCAGCTCGGGCCGGGTGGTTAAAGGGTTAATGAGTGCTAAAATATTCCCGAAAGAACTAAAAAAAATCAACAAAAAAATATATATATCTGCAGTCCTTTCAGCTTTTTCATTCTTGCCGTTTTCTGTTGTCCATGAGCAAGGTGAGCGAGTTTCAAGAAGCAAGAGTTGGGCCGAGTTCCTTTAGAGGAGTGCCATAAACATCTCCGACTTGAGCTTTCCTATGCTATTTATTATAAACAGACGGCGATTTCTGCTCATTCATACTTCCAATCACCAAATTATATATAACCACAAACAGATCACTCTTGCAAAGTTTTGACAGAACGCCACAAGGACCAATCTTTTTGAACACTCATTTCTTGCGCGCACTATATCAGAATAGAATTAATCAGCGGCGGAAGTGGTGTGCTACGAGAATGCCGATTTATTTTATAATGCAGTGTCGTGCCCCCCGCAATAATTCCCAAAAGGCAAATGTTTCTTATATAAAAAAATAAAGAATCAGACCTAGACCTAAAACTATTCAGTTTAGCAGGCCAGGTCCCGAACCAGCTTCCCGAACCGACGAGAGCATGACAGCATCAAAAAGAAGCCCCCTCTCCGCCCGGGGTGATAGGGGGAGGGTCACCCGAAGGGGTGCTCTCACCGCGGCAGGGCTGATGTGCACGGGCAGGGGTGGCCCCCTGAGGGAGCCGTTGGCAGCGGGGGACTGGTGTGCCGGCTGGTAGGCCAGGCTGAAGTGGGAGATGGGGTAGCCCCCGTCCTGGGACACGTGCCAGCGCACCGTGGCTACCACCGTGGAGGGGTGCACGGTCAGGTTGCTCAGGCGGGCGGGGGGCGCTGCGGGCGACGTCGAGATTTCGGCCAAGGAACCCCCCCACTTTAACCTAAAACCCCTCGATAAGATTTTGCATGATTTTTACAAGTACCAACGACCATTGCTGCGCGAATCCGCAAGACACGTGCCAGGAGCGAGTGCTCCGCCGCCATTCGCTTGCAGGGAACACTTATTGCGCATGCAGTCAAAGCACGGCAGAAGGGTTCCAAAGATGCATCCTGCCGTTCTTATTCTGTCCGTAACTAGAGACCATTTCTTTAGAAGCGCCAAAAGGAGGCGCTGTTGGCGGTTTATGTCCCTGCAAACTTCCGGTCAAATGAGAGGACAGACAATCCCCACTACAGCACCACTTAAATGTTTTTGAAATATTTTTTTGACCAGCTCTCGGGGTGGTTAGCGACCGGTTAGCGAGGGATTTGGAGGTTTTTCGTTACTCGCGTAAGACGACCGGTTCCTTCTTACACGTTGAATGGCGCAACGTAACGACCCCGCTGAATTGCCAACTTCGCAATTTCCGTAGAACCTTGTCCTCCCGAGAATTTAAATGACAACAAGCTCAAAAAGTTAAAAAAAAAAAAAAAGGAAAGAGCGGAAGTCTCTCGGAAGCTGAAAGATGGCTCGTGTTTGTAAACAGTAGAAGCGTACATAGTATGTTTAGCGTCCTTTACCGCCCATGCGTCGGAAGCGGTCTAGAAGTAACCACAAATGACGCAGCAGGAGCCGAAGCGCCAAGCCGCAGGATGTCGTGATTGCGGCGGTCGGTCGTAGGAGTTCCGGCAAAAGAAGGACGAGCGAACACGAGCATCAGCTTCCCGACTCCTGGTGCTGAAGCTTCTGTGGACTTTCCATCTGGAGAGAGATCTACGGCGGGACAAGGTGCCGCCTGCCGCATTCACCTTCGCAGTTGTGCCTTCGCCAGGACTGCAGCAGGCAATGCAGTCCTGCTGCAGTCCTGTCACGGGTGGAAATCGAGAGGCCACAAATGAGGAAGCAGTAAACACACTAGTCGGTGACTCGCTGCAGGTACCATGGCGACAGTCTCAAGTTTGCGAAGGCCATTTTTTGGGAGCTCCGTTTAAAATACGGAACTGAAATTCGCGGGATGGTGAAAATGGTCGGGTTTTGCGGAAAACCACCTGACGGAGTAGCTCGATGTCCTCGGATCTCAAGGAAGAAAAATCGTCACGTTGTATTGACTGGGTACCGACTAAATCGAGACGTATTATCTTCAAAGTACCAAGTGCCGGCTGAGAAAAAAGGTTAATTTTTCGCAACGAAGAACTAGACTATGCAACGCCCGCAGTTTAAGACTCCACCAAAGTGTGGCTCTATACTCCCTTGACCCCTTAAGTTGAGACTAAAAGCTCTGCCTTTAGCGCGAGCTCGCTGGCTTCCAGAGTGCTTTGGTTGTGTGTGCCTGCGCATTCGCACTTGTCTTAACAAGGGCACAAAGCTCGCGCTGAAGGCAGAGCTTCTAGTCTCAGCTTAAGGGCGAACGGAAAATAGTGGAAGAGATACGGTGCGAAAGTTTCCGAACCAAACAGTGCCAGATGCAAAAGGTAGAAACTATTTTGAAGATGATTTCGATTGAAAATACTGCATTCATTTTTGGCAACAGACGCTATTCATCTTCCCGTATTTGCAGGTTTCAGAAGATGCCACTTGTCTAACATTTATTAAATTTTCTTATCAGATAACATACGGTTCTGAACATTTTGACATATTATCCTAACTGCTGGTGCTGTATTCGGGATGAGTGTGAACTTTCAGGAATACCACAGTATGTATTTCCGGCACAAAAAATTGCAGTTTCCTTTTTTTCTGCCAATACCCTGTACTTCTAGTCCCATTTTGATAGAAGTATTTTTTCAGTTTCTTTGAACCCATAATTCAGAAGAACCATCCTTCGGTGAATCAGTAAGCAAGAAACTAGGTTTTACCAGACGACTGCTTAAAGAGAAATGCATCCATACCGTCGCGTTGCTTTCAATAAAAACATGTATTCCAAATTGTTCTACAAAGCAGAACTCAAACTACGAGGCCTGGTTATGAGGTTACGAGGACACTCGTTGAGTGGCTTCGTAACCGGTCATTGAAGAGGGGTGCCTTGCTGGATTTCCGCGCTTAGTGGATTGGGGCCAAGAAAGGGCGAGGCGGTGATCTACCAAGTTTGCCATCAATCTGCAATAAGCAGGCTCTAAGCCCAGTAAAAAGGGCCTTCCGCACAATTTACGGCCGTAAATAGACGCCCACGAGGGTGCCCTCCCTATAATCGGAGGACTGCCTTCAGTATGATCCGGGTGAATTTTTTCGCACGTTTCTACAGGCAGGCACCTTTTTCTATGCTTTTTGAAAAACCATAATCATTGGCAGAGTTGCAGTGACTAACAGGACAAGAAGCGTTTGGCATTTCTTTCGGATGTCCAGCTCCCAGCACGCGCTCGTTTTTTTCCATTGTGTCCTGGCTATGTGTGTATGCTCGCAGTCGAAGCTCACTAGACATTGAAATGCTATTGAATGTAGGAAGCTCACACTGGAGGCGGGAAAACTGAAAGACCACCTTGCCCTTCTTATCCCGTCGGTGTCTATGCTGACTGCACACAGTGCCCAGCAACCGTCACCATCCGACTACCTCGCCTGCGCTCGTTAACAAGAGGAGACCAAGGAAAGCAGGCTCAAAGGAGCAATGGCCCTGGCCTCGGCGAGCGCGCGGTGGGGAATCAAGGGAGGGCCCTGACTGCGTATGACGAGCCGCGTGCTGGGCCAGGCCCGTCCGTCGTCCAGACCGCACGAGTAGTCCCCGGCGTCCGATTCGAGCAGCGCGGTCGACACCAGGGCCCCCCGGGGCTCGTGCAGGGTCCAGCTCAGCCCCGAGCCCAGGCCGCGCCCGTCCTTCTGCCAGAGCACGCGCCGTGGCCACCGGCGACCCGAGGCCACGTTGCACTGCAGCGTCAGCCCGGAGCCCAGGTCGCCCTGCACCACGCCCGGTGCAGCCTGCCGCTGCCGAGAGCCTGCGAGAGCGAGGGACTGGCTGAAACGCGCGCCCACGGATTTGGCAGGTTCTAGTAGGTATATGATACCAGTGGGTGTCTAGGTTTGTCGTCGGCACTCTCTGATGTTCACGATGGTGAACGCAGGCGCCGCAGAAAGCCACTGAGCTCGTCCACAGCAAGTGGCTGCGGGGTCTGTGGGAGCTGTTGGTGACTGCGTCTTACGTGCTTCTGGAGCCCGGTTAGCCCGGTCGAACCAATTAACTCACACAACGAAAGCGTTGCACCTTGGTCAGATCAGCTTGGATGATCTGGTTAACTGGCCCAGCTCGCTCTCTGTCTGCCAAATGTAAACACCCACTGGCGACTTTGACAACCACAGACAGGCACCCAAAGCGCGCACAGACAGTTTCTTTTCAAGGTAGCCGAGCCGTATGACCACCAGAGAAGATTAACTTGTGGTTACTCACCTCTCGCGAAGACATGGACGAAGAAAATTAGTAATAAGCACCGATGTACGTAGGCTATTCTGACCATCGTCGACCGCTAGGGCTGTCCCTATTCGCACCCCGAGTGCGGATAGTGGTGGATTCTTATCCGCACTCCGAGTGCGAATAATTTTGGATTCTTATCCGCACTCCGAGTGCGGATTATGTTGGCTTCTTATCCGCACTCCGAGCCTCCGAGTGCGTGAGTGCGGATTGCGTGCGGAGGCGCGGACTGGCGCGGACGCTGTACCGGGGGCACCGGGCAGCCGCAGCACCGGGGCGGGGGTGGCGGGGGTACGAAGACGTTGGCACGAAGCCGTTGGATTTTCTTTACCTGCACTCCGCGTGCGGCGCGATTATGTCGCGGGAAACTATGAACACAGTGGTTTAGAAGTTCTCAACTTTGTGTTGATTCACTGGCGTGTTGGCAGCCTCGACGAGCGTATGGAAATATTGGCGGTTCCGGTTTCAGAATTGAAATAATTTCAAGGAAATGTTTTTTGTTTTATAAAAAAAAAAAAAAAAATTAACATTGGGTGGTGCGCTTCAGATTAAACGGTACTCACGCCTCGAAGATCGGATAGAGGCGATCAAGTGCGTGTGCGTGTGTGTGTGTGTGTGTGTGCGTGTTTGTGTTCCCAAACACATCAGCTTTACAGTCCCCCCCCCCCCCCCCCCAAAAAAAAAAAAAAAAAAAAAAAAGTTCTGGCGATATATTTTTTTTTTTTTTGGACGGTTAAATATTTTTATTGACGAAAGAAAAAAGAAAGAAACTAGAGCAGTGTGCAATTTGTGACGTGTATTGTCTTGTGCTTAGATGATGGGGGCAGTGGCTTAAGAAAAAGGGGGGGGGGGGAAGGAAAATCAGTCATTTCCAGTAAACAATATTATTAAAAAATGAAGTCCCCCCCCCGGCTCAATCTCCTGAACACTTTCAACACTACTAGGTGAGGGAATGCCTGATAAGTCCCCGGCCTTTTGTTACTGTAAATTTTTTTAATAGAATGATTTGCACTTTTGCAAGTAGACGACGATAGATGTGATGGCTGTTAAAAGATGTTTTTGTGTGGTTGTGTGATCGGAGATGTTAAACATATATGCCGAGGGTGCCGAACACTGAGCTTGCGAATTTTGGGCGTGGCGGCAGCGGAAGTTTGGAACATCTCTGCGTGTGTGTGTGTGTGTGTGGTCTGGGGCGGGGGGGGGGGGGGGGGGGGTAATTGTGTATTGAAAATTGTTTGCTAGTCGCCCACCGTTCCCACATTACTGCCCCTATCCACCACACAATGTTAATGTGCTGACTGTGGCGAAGGCGCGCTTCCGTTTTTTTTTTTTGTTTTTTTTTTTTTGCAAATAATAATATCTTGTTTAACAAAAAAAAAAAGAAAAAAGGATACTGAAGGAACAATAGGATTGCTTACGTCCTGTGTTCATGCTTTTTTTCAAGCCCCCGAGGCGCGAGTACAGTTCAGTCTCTACCCAAATACACCATCTAGCGCTAATCAATTTCGAAAAAAAAAAAAAAAAAAAAAGCGATTATGCATTTGCAGTGATGTTTGGAGGTGAGCTAGTCGGTGGTGCATAGTGAACATATAATCAAAACAGCGAAAACAAACACAAGGACAAACAGAAGAAGGGACACGAACACAGCGCTGACTCGCGTCTTCTTATGTTGATGTGTTTTAAGAAGACAAAAAAGAGAGTAAATCGCGAGTCAGCGCTGTGGCTGTGTCTCTTTTTCTTTACCCCCCTTGCTATTCTTTCTGTGGCACTCCTGTGTCCGTCGCCACACACCTTCAAATTCTGGGGGTGACCCTCGCACCTACTTTGGATTTTACCTTACATATTTCCAACATCGTGGCAAAGGCACGTCGAACCCTCGGGTTCGTCACAAGGGTGTCGCGCTCCTGCGGTCCGGAGGCCTTTCGGATCTGGTGCTCCCGCGTTTAGAATACTGCGCTTCCACCTGGAGCCCCTACCAAGCCCACCTCTCTCAGCGTCTGGAGGGGGTCCAGCGTCGCGCAACACGAACTCTCCTGTCGCGGACGGACCGGACGCTGGTCACCCCCCAGACCTATGAGGATCGACTGAGGCGCCTCAGCTGGCAGACATTAGACCATCGACGGGTCGTTGCGCGTGTGAGACTGTTGTGCCGCCTCCTGGACGATTCACTAGAGAACACTTATCTCAACTCTGTCCTCCGCATTAGTAAGCGGTCCGGACAACCCGAGCAGCTACGGGCTCGCACAGTTCGCCATAGCCGCACGTTTCTTCCAGCTGCGATCGAGGCCTTCCTCTCGGCGCCCCGGGATGTGCGCTTCCCCATCCCAGAAGACCGGGCGGGATCCGCGCTTCTGTGCCGAGCCTTTTCGCGGGCGCGGAATTGATTGTGTGGGGAAGTTGCGTTCGGGCCGGGATTGCGGGACGCGCGTTGCCCTCGACTGTTGCCGTGATGGGGGGTCCTGTCGCGGGGGGGAGGTGATTGGGATCGGGACCTGGCTCGCCCTCCCAAGGTGTTGGGCCTTTCTCGGTCTCTCCCTCCTGGCAGGGCCCCCCGTCGCGGCGATGGGAGTCGCGCGCGCTTCGCGATTTCGGTTTGGACGCCCTCTGAGGACACTCGGGCCGTGCTAGGGCCTCGTAAATGCGACCGATTGCGTAACTCCCCCCCCCCCCCCTTTTATTATTGTTATTATTATTTTTTTTTTTAGTATTGTGTGTTTTTTTTGTTTGTTATGTTGAACTTTGTTTTCGTTTCCTGGGGGTTGGGCCAACAGACGCACCAGCGTACGGGCTTCCGCCTTTCTGTTTCGCCTCGCACGCCCCCAGGAAAACACCTGTCTGTGCAAATAAAGATTATTATTATTATTATTATTATTATTCTTGTCCTTGTGTTCGTTCGCGCTGTTTTAATTTTATGTTTACGATTATGCATTTGTTTGAAATTGAATTCGTTCTGAAACACAGTTCTCCTCCCAATCAAACACCGCACAACCACTAATATTTCTATGAAATCGGTGCTGCCAACATGCCAATGTCACACCACGAACATCGTAAGTCACTATGTTCAAAGTTTCCCGCGTCCAAGTCGCGCCACGCCACACGCCAAGTTCTTCGCCCCACTTTAGCCCCACGCACTCGGAGTGCGGATAAGAATCCAACGCAATCCGCACTCGGAGTGCGGATAAGAATCCAAAATTATCCGCACTCGGAGTGCGGATAAGAATCTACCACTATCCGCACTCGGAGTGCGAATAGGGACAGCCGACCGCTAGCACACCATAGCTGCCATGTTTGTTTGTCCTTCGCTGGCGTATTGATACTCGTGTGTGTTCAAGTCGGCGCTGGTTTCAGTCAGCGCATCACTCCTCACCGGATTTGAACGGCAGAAATACTCACTTTTGGTCTCGTAATCGTAATTTATAATGACATTAAAACATATTATAACATATTATAAATTGCTCAACCTGGTTTATTTGATTAAGCTTGTTTTTGTGGCGCACTCATTTATGGCGCGGCATCAAAACGTGCCGTGGCCCGCGGTTTATGGTTTCGGATTTGGTTGGATTTAATTCTTACGCGCGTGTGCCCTCCGTCCGGCTACCTGCTCACGACACTTTCGCCGGCTTGCCGGGTCCAAGCAAGGTGATCATTCTCACTCCTGAGACCATCAAATGAGCGGCGTATACAACCAGTGCAACTTGCAAGGGTAGGTGAGGAGACCTTCCAAGTCCCAACGTGGTCCAACTGAAAGGTCCAACTCTAATGCCTCATTCACACTGGAAGCGGATCCGCGTTCGCAAAGCGGTTGCGAACGCGGTTGTATAAAGATTCAGTACAATTGCACGCGCACCCGATGACATCAAGTGCGCGTGCAATTGCACTGGATCTTTATACAACCGCGTTCGCAACCGCTTTGCGAACGCGGATCCGCTTCCAGTGTGGATGAGCGGTAACTGTGAAGAGTTGGACGCGCGCGGGTGGCGCGGCTTTGGCGGTCAACTTTGGTTTGGGTGACATTAGTGCGGCTGTAGTCACTGACAGGGTGAGAACGGCAGAGCGCGTCTTCGGAACGCCCGGCTTTCACGCGCTTCATGCCTTCCGCCTGCGGGGTGTCGTTCTCATTGGTGCACCGTGCGTGCGCGTGAACGAAGCACAGCAGAAATGGCGGCGGCCAGATGCCATGCTTGCAATCGTCTATAGTTTCGTTTTGTGCACTTGTTATTTGGCTTTTGTTTTTACTAGTTTCGTGGGGTGCTAGAAAGTATAGGTCTCCATCGCGGAAGCCTTGAACAAACTAGCGCCCTGATTTTGGGTAGTACAAGCTCACCTGATTTAGCCTCACTACTTATGGCACGTTGGTTGAGCTTTTTTAATTCTGTCTGGTGCTGAAGAACGAAAAAAACGCCTTTGGACGCTAGAAATTGGCCAGACTCCACGCCGCAAGACAATCCAAAGTGCGAAATTCATGACACCACCGCTAGGGTACGCGTCTCTTACCTCTGAGTGGTGGGGGCGGCTCGGGCCACAAGCTTTCCCCCGAAGTCCATGCTTATAATATGTCAACTCTTGGATGGTGGCAGGGTCCAAAAGTGGCACGAAAATGGCTTTTCTTTATCGGGGCCAGTCTGATGGCGACAAAAATTTGTGTGGTTTTGGTGGCATCAGCTTGAATGAAGCCATGTTCACTGGCAGTCGGGCTAGAACTCGTCACAGGCCAACAGTTCATGGGAGAACTCGTCAAGGAGGCCAACTCGTCGCAGGGCATATCGTACGAGGAATTGTGGTCACGACTGAATAATCGTCACAAGGAACACTCGTATCATGGCGTGGAGTTTGGCTGTAGAACTACGAATTTACTTCTGTTCATTCCTATCAATTATTGAATGCATCGCGTTGGTAGCTGTAATCAAAGCATGACGCTGAAATCAAAATAAATATAACTAGATGCCATGGCATGGTTTAGAAAGAACAAATGCGATTTTATTGAGCCTGCACGAGCCATTACAGCATGGAACTCAAAACCGGATATTCCTAGCAATATTTCAAAGTGTGCAGAGAGGAGATCTGGTGAACTGCTCCTCTAAAGCTCTAGATGTGCGCTCATTAATATCTTTATATTTCTGTGCAAGACGCAGCGGCGGTTGCCCCGCGTCTAACTGCGCCATCTTCAATTCTTGCAGTGCTTGTTCATCCCTCAGACACCTCGGGAAGACTCAGAGGTGGGGAAGACGGCAGTCGACATTGGACTGCAGCAAGAAACAAAAAATATGTGCAGATTAACATAAAATATGTCAACAAACACTCACTCTAGCATATTAAAACAGTGAGGACAAAAGCTACTGTAACGCACCCGGAAGCCTCGATGCCAGGCTTCGACAGTGTGGTTCGTGCATGGCATATCTTGCTGCACGGCATCATGCACATACCATAGGCTTCGTGGAAGTACATAGGCAGATCGGTGACCTCACTAGGAGGGACCTGGAGAAGCTTGTCAAAAGCCTCTGGAACCTCAGCAGGTGGCAAGAATGCCAACGCGGGTAACATTCGCATCTAGAAAAGACAATACTTATTGGCGTATACGTCGATGGAATATTGTATTCGCTTTATATGCACCTTTGTTATTCTGTGATCATATAGATATTATACCTTGTTTTTTTTTTGGCACGTGAAGAGGAAGCGACACAACTGGTTGTTATGCGCCATATGTGTGCTTAAAATAATACAAATATGCAGATGAACGAACCGCACTGATTAAATGAAATAAGTAATGAGAATGCATAGAAGAGCTAATAAACTAATGAAAAATTTGCGTTTAAAGTTTGTTCTGGTGATTGCACTCAGTAATACTTTGAATTTGTGAAAATGTGCTGCAGCACATGACGTTCAAAAGAGGAACGCATTTTTCTGGGAGGCTTCATGACATGGTGAGCCGAATAAAGTATTAAAGTAGCAATATGATTATGGCCTACTCTCAAGCTTAGAGAATAAGACGTAATTACCTGAACAGCAAAATCTTCGTCTTGGCAGTAGCATGCTTGCATGCCCAACTTGCACAGCTTTCAGTACACCGATTGACACAGATGAAAGAAACATCCTTGAATCCTCGCTTGAGAGAAATGCCTGTACGCAGTAGATTACCTCGACTTCCACACTTGACATGAAGCCGGAGAGCACTGAAAAAAGTCTGAAACCGAAATGAAAGTGATGCTGTAGTTTGCGATATGCGAAAACACGAACCATGCAATATGTACAGTCGCCGCGGAAGTTAATGGCTCCACGCGAGCACGCATTTTTTTCCGAGGGGTGCTTGACTGGTGGCTTGCGATAGAACTAGAGATGACGTCAGGGCAAGCCCATGCGGAGTGGACGGGGGAAGCCGTCTCAATTCAAGGGAACTGTTGTTACCATCCCACCCGCGGGGGGGTGATGGGGGAGGGGGTGAGCGTAGTTCGAATGAAAAGGGGAGATGATTCTGCAGAAGTCAAGAGCGCCGAGCACGAATGAGATGGCTGCTTGGAAAGAGAAAGGGAACCGAAAACATGTCTTTCGAGGCTTCGGCTTCTCGCTTTTACTTGTTAAGTTTACAGGTATCAGCAGTTATCTTTTCTCGCGGATGATTGATGTTAAGTAGGGTTGTGCAAATAGTGGTTCCAATTGAATAGTGCTGCGTCATTCATGCCTTGACAGTGCATGAGAAAGCAAGACGGCTGGTTCTTTTAGGGATGACGCTGCACTATTCGCACCCCTCCCCCCCTGTTAAGCGCTTTGTGCTTGCTCTTGAAATTTCAGTTTCTTTCTGTTTTTGCTAATCGCACGAGATCGCAGAAGTTGTCTCGCAGGTTTAGCTTGCATTTACTGTATGCTCTAGTTTCATTTATCCTGGTTTACGTTATGCACATTAATACTCGGTTTTTCATCCAAGTTGTTTCAAATAATCTTTTCTTTTATTTTTAATATGCCTCCTCGTGTACCGCATGATACGAGGGTTCGCATAACCGCGCTCTCGCAAGCTGGATTCTTGCAAAGGCAAATTGCTTCAGCCACAGGAGTAAACCGGCGAACGGTCAACCGGATTGTGCAGGCCTTTCGCGATGAAGGGCGCATCGAGGATGCACCTCGAGGTCGACCCCCTCGCCGCATGACTGAGGAAGAGGACTTGCTCATAGTAGCTGCTTTCTGTGATGATCCTTTTATGACAGTGAAGGAGTTGAAAACGTGCTTAAACATCCGAGCTTCCGTGACGACCATATGTCAGCGCCTACATGAAGCTGGAATTCAATCCCGAGTGGCTGCACAAAAGCCTCGCCTTTACGAGCATCACCGAACTGCACGGAAGTCGTTTGCATGAATGGAATGGAATGAGGTTGTCTTTACGGACGAGGCTAGCTTCTGCAGCCGTTTCGATCAACAGCGCCGCGTCTGGAGACCGGCCTTCTGCAGGTAGGTCTTTCTGTTTGAAGAATTCAGTAGCTTTATTTTAACTATATTCAGAAGATGGCCCTTGTAGGCGTAGTTTGTTTTATCTTTCGAAATTACCACCTTTCAGGTACTATCCACGTTACATTCAGCAGGTCGCTGCCAGCGGGTGGGTCACTGTCAGCATTTGGGGTGCAGTGACCAGCCAGGGCTTAGGGCCGCTACATAGGCTGAGTACGCCTTTCACTGCAGGGCAGTATATTGACGTCCTGGATCACGTGCTGCTACCTTTTCTTCTTGACGGGCCATTTGCGGATGGTTGCTTCGTGCTGCAGCACAATTGTAGTCCCGTGCATCAGGCAACCGCTGTGAAAATCTACTTGGAGGAGCGATGCATCAACAGCCTCCAATGGCCCCCAGGAGGCGAGGACCTTAATGTGATTGAAAATTTTTGGGGTCTGCTGAAGAAATGGCTCTCCAAAAGGCACCTTGCGGACACATCAGCAGACACCCTGTGGATGGCTATTGCGGGGGAGTGGAGGATTCTACAAGCTCAGCAAGGGCTTGTGATGGCACTCTACGAGTCTCTTCCTCGTCGCATGGAAACCGTTGTCGCTAACAACGGGGCGTATTACAAGTATTGAATTAATGTAAACATCAACATTGGGTTATTGATTAGCCAAGTGGTTAAAAACAAAGTATGTTTTACAGTATTGCTTGCAAGTCATAAATATGAGCCAACTGTTTTATTGTACTAAAAAAAATTCCAAATAAAAATTCTAACTTTACGACAGACACCTGTATTTCAAACCTTGAAGACATATGCGTGTCACTTCTTTATGATCCGGAGCACATTGTCACCGGCGGAGCTGCGTTGGCTACTGCTCAAGCACCGTGCCCAAAAATACGGTTTCGTGCAGCTCGGTGCATTTTGTTTTATCTTTATTATACTGAGCATATTGAAGATCAATACCGTTTCATAAAAAATTCATGTAAAAAAACGTGATCGCATAATTATAAAAGGCATACTAAAAATAAAGCTTGTTTGCGTAGCTAAATACAAATGTTGAGAAAAGAAAGCAATCAGTATCTGTATTTCACTCAAAAAAATGGGGGGAGGGGGGGGGGGGAGGATAATGCGGCATGATCAGCTTCACAAGATTATAAACAATAGGGGCTAAAAAAAAAAGCGTACAGATAGGTGAGCATGCAGCAACAAACAGGGGTGGAACGGCTGCGCCATTTGCGCCATTTTGCGCCAGACGCATTTGTCTGCGCCATCCTGCGCCATGTTTCGGAAACTGCGCCACAGTCAATACCTCGCGCCATTATGCACCAAATTGGAAAATGTGCGCCAAAAAAATTGTATTTTGTCTTGGTTTCGGTTTCTATCGACTAGATTGGCAACAATGATCGCGTTTAGCTTGGGGGGACCTTGCAATCCTTTTTTTCTCTTTATTCTCCCTGTGTATCCCGAGTAGGAAGTGTGCGAAAAAAACTCGGGGTTCGGATTCCAAGCGCTACACCATCTGCCTCTGGATTGTTATTCTTCAACCATAAGCGGTTAAACAAGTCGGTCGAGGTAAGGTCGAGTCGTTAAGCGTCAGATTGCCTGAGGCTCCGAAGCCCGGGATCCGGACGTCAGTCAGTTGAAAACAAATGAGCAAAAGATTCCTTTGAGCACTTCATCGTTAGAAGTTGGAACCGCATTCCTGCAAGATAAATCGTGATTTGATAGATCTGAAACGCAGTCCGATCCGAAACCTTGCCGGCCAGCAGCTCTCACGCGAGCGGTAGATCTGCTCGGCATACGTTAACCTTGCTCCTGCTTATCGCTTCGAATACGATAACTCCGTTAATCGTAGTCTGCTGCTTCGATATTGAGTTGCGCAATAGGATAAACTCGAATTTTGTTGCGATATTGAGTTGCGCAATATGAGAAACTCGAAATTTGTTTCCCTGTTCTTCCGCGCAACTGCACGTTCGTTGCTTACGCACGTCACGTGGTTCGCACATAAAATCACTCTGTCGAGGACGTGTGGACTGTGCGATAAGCGGTGCTGGTTTGCATTTTGAGCAGCTGAAAGCCACTCAGAAAATATCAAGGCTCACAAAGTTCCAAGTTTTCGCATCTGTTACACTGTTATCCCATCTGCCTAGGTCCCTAACCACTCATGTTTATCTGGGCTGCTAAGCACAACTGAAATTGCTCCCGTGCTTGTCTAAGACACAAGCTGGAGTGCAATGAAAACTGATCTGAGCTGCTCCTAGCCTGCTCCAGAGTGTAGTTTTAGCTGCTCCCAACCTGCTCCAAAACAGCTGTTTTAGCTGCTCCCGTGGCTGCTCCCAAGCACATTTCATGAGTTCCACCCCTGAACAAATAAAAGCGAGAAGCCGCTGAATGGTGTAGAATATGCGACTTGTTTTCTTCTCTCTTAGCAAGCAGCCATCTCATTCATGCTCGGCGATCTTGACTTTTGCAGAATCATCTCTCCTATTCATTCGAACTACGCTCACCCGCAGGCGGGATGATAACAACAGTTCCCTTGAATTGAGACGGTGTCCCCCGTCCACTCCGCATGGGCTCGCCCTGACGTCATCTCTAGTTCTATCGCAAGCCACTAGTCAAGCGCCCCTTGGAAAAAAAATGCGCGCTCGCGTGGAGCTATTAACTCCCGCGGCGACTGTACGATGAAGATATAAGACAATGCAATATGTACGGAAGCAAAGCGTACAAAAGCGGGATCACAGCACCATGGTACAGCCCGTGCATTGTGTACACCCGATAGAATAGTGATGGCGTCGCCTTAAAAGTCCCGTCCATGAACCATGCCCTCATAGTAGAAAGGCGCTCAAAGTTTTTCGGTGTGCGGAAAACCAGAAGGCTGTCCTTGTCTCCACAACTCCTCTCATAGCAAGAAAGGGCACGTCGTGTAAGCCCGTACACCTGGAAAAGATATAAAATGTATTGCTCTAAGTTGATGAACTGTACCTAAAGAAGATAGATAGAGCGCTCCTCAAAACAGGTCGTTAGAAGAAGCCAGATAAAAGAAAGGCGGATGGTTTTGCTTGGAGACGAAGCATCGAGCCTTCCGTAAAATGTGGAAGGAGTCTATCCAAGATGAGACCGCTTTGTACGTGCATGCCTTCTCGGAACACCAAGAAACAAACTGAGAGGGCTGATGCAGCCCTCATACCCACTTGGAAGTGCTTTTCAATCTCATATAAGAGGGGGCAAAATTCGAAACTTCCGGCAAGAGCGTGGCCTATTGGAAGGATAGGAGGATTTGGTACTTGTTAAAAGAAAGTTGCACCAGCCTCTAGTTGTTTGTGTTTTGTTTTTTGTTACGATCTTGAGGAGAAGGTTGTAGTCGATGTGGCTTCTTGGCACGTTCAGAGGAACAGGGTTCTCGCAGCATGATGATGAAGGGCAACCAATAGATTCCAAGTCTTGAAAAGCAGGAGCAGTGCGAGTTTGAGTGCAGAATGATAGTTTATAACTGTCATTATTCTGGAAGCTTTGGGTCTTTCTTGTTCATCTCTCGTACCACTTGCGAGTGCAGCCGAAAAGGGGTTGCTTGTACGGCAGTCGTTTTTGTGCCGACCACCAAGTCTGAGTGGTGACAAATAAGCTGCAAGGCTTAGAGCACTGCACAGGTTTACCTTTCGAGGCCCGACCCGGCCCGGACCCAATTCCTCTCAGTCTTGCCCTACCCGGGCCCGGCCCAAAGGGATGCGTACCTGACCCAGCCCGGCCCGGCTGGAGGTGCCTCAACAGTGGGGTTGATGCACGTCTTTGACGGGGCCCAGAGCAAGGCTGAGAGCAATGCATACCGTCTGGCCTAGCCCGAGGGCCGGGCCCAAGCTTTTGGATTGACTCGGGACCGTGCAGGGCCTTAGCGTGGCTATTTCCCTGTTCACTTCTAGTGACGAAGCAGAAGGATCATGAGCGTATAGGTTACAATTAGCTAGTCTGGCGGCACTACTTAGTGCAAGCAATTCAGCGTCATGTTCACTGACCTCTTTATTATTGAGATTTGGGGTCTTGCATTCATGCTCTATTTTTACATATTACCGCAGTACTGTGGTCGCAGCTGAGAGCCAATATGGCAAGCACACGGAGATGGCAGGGCACTCAGTGCTGTTGCTTCTTAGTCCTGGGCACTGTACCCATCAAGGTCACGGCACAGTAATGTCACCAGTCCATTAAATATTATTGAACATACCCTCAGGACTTGGAGATCTTATAGCATTACAGTTGGCAAAGAGCCTACCCACACTGCCTGACTCTGCAAAAGTGTAGTATGTTAGAATGGAACAAATATCTGAGGTGTCTCAGTTTTATCACTGTTTTTGGAATGCTTATCAAATTGGGGTTCCTAGAAGGAAATACAGCAACCCCATGAAAATATAAGTGTGCTACTGTCATTTAGAGACTACAGGTTGTGTCTAAGTTATTTCTGAATGTGTTGCATACATTTCTATTTTCAGTTCAATATTTCATTAGAAATGACTGATCAAGAATAACTTTTGCTGCTTTGCAAAAAAAAGTAAGGGGTCTATTTTCTCTCAGCTTGTAGGACATCCCTTCCTTGGGACAAATGATGAGAGAATAAACTTTAAAACTTTTTTAACAATTAATCGGTGTCTTGACCTTGTGAACCTTGGAGGGTATATATCACCCGCGAGTAAAGCTATCATTCGCCTGGTCTGCTGGCAGGCAGATAGCCAAAAAAGGGGGGTGGGCATAGCATGCCCCCCTCTCCCCCAAAATTTTCCGTTTTGCTGGAGCCTCCTCTCCCCCTCATACAGCATTTTGTCGTGCCCCCCCCCCCCCCCCCCCCCCCCCCCCCGAATCATAATCCTGGCTACGTGTTTGTCTGCTGGTATTGGTGGTAGTAGTATCGCTTGCAAATTAGTGTTGAATGATTGTTTAGTTGTTCAATTGTTCAATGAAGGATCTTCAATCCCTAGAATGTATTGGACACTTAAGAAATTACCTCAAGTGCAGGTTAGCCGGTGTAAGTTCATCAAGGTGGTAAACCTGAGATGGGCTGAAAAAGAAAAACAATGGAAGAGGCAGAAAAAGGGGACTGACAATGTATCAACCCTAATTTTCTTTTACCGCAGTCTCGAGGCTTACCATCATGTTAGTTATACTGTTTTCTTAGTTTGCCAAAGTTGCAGCAAACTTCCATCCATGTTTACACTGGTTACTACACAACTGTTCAGCCTGCAAAGTTTTCAGCCCAAGTTCAATCTGGGTTTGCAGGTGTACGTGTGGGTATGGAAGGGGGCTTGCCTGATGCAGCAACCAACCTGGTCGATGACTACCTGGAGCGCAGCTGGCGACAGCACCTTGCCCGCTACAGGAGGCGCTTCCGGAGGTTCTTCGAGCCCTTTGGTCTGCGGGGAACCCTGCAAAACGTTGGGACCCTTGGAGAAGGTGACAGTCCCGAAGAGGATGACCGCAGTCGCTGCCGCAGGTGCTGGGATTTTGCAAAGACCCTCCGCCTTGAAGCATTCTTCTTTCTCTACACCCTGGCCTATACGATACAGTGCGCGACAGCAGCCAACCTGGTGGAACTGAAGGCGTGCTACCAAGTACTCAACAAGAGCAGGGAAGTCTGCGAGAACTTGGCCGATCATACAAGGGAGGACGTTCGCAATGTGGCGTCGCTTTACGTCATGTACCAGTCGCTGGTGGGCTTCTTACCAGGCGCTCTGGTCACCTTGGTGGTGGCCAGCTGGTGTGACGAGGCTGGCCGGTTCAAGGTGCCTCTGTGCATCGCCCTCTTTGGCCACATGGCAAAGGTGTCCGGTGAGCTGGTCACCGCAGTCTACGTGGATGCTCCCCTCTTGTACAACTTGCTCTGTGCTATTCCGGAAGGTCTTCTCGGGGGGCTTCCAGCAGTACTCATGGCCTCATATACCCTCACCGCCTCGGGGTCCTCCAGGAAGCAGCGAACTGTGCGTTTCTTCACGCTCCAGATTGCCTTCGTGTTGGGCTTGCCTACTGGACAGCTGATAAGTGCTCTGGTGTTCCTCAAGTCTGGCTTCGTGCCCCTCATGGCCTCCTCTCTTGGGCTCTTTACCCTGTCCTGCGCTTGGGCCTCACTTCTGGTGCAGGATGTTCCAGCACACCCCGAGCGGGCCGAGGACCCCCGGCCGCCCTCCAACCCCCCTGCACTGAGGCCACAACCCCTCCGGTCGCTGCGGCACCTCTTCAGCGTGCGGCACCTCCTGGGCAGCGTGCGTACCGTCGTGGGAAGGAAGCTGGACGTGGACCGGTGGCGAGTGCCGCTGCTGGTGCTCTCGGTCTTCCTGCTGGTGCTCAACAGCCAGACGTCCTTTATGGGCTACTTCTACGCCAAGGGCAAGTTCAACTGGACCTTTTCCACTTACGTCATTGTGACGTCTGCTTTCTCGCTGGCCAGCGTCCTGGTTCTGGTGCCCGTACTCGTGTGCTTTGTCCGCTGGCTACCCAACCAGGAGTATGGCCTGGCTGTGCTGGGGATCCTTGGGGTCGGGGCCAAGAACATCCTGCAGGCATCCTCTGGTTCGGCCGGCAGCCCCCTCTTCTTCCTTGGCTACGGCTTCGGCATGCTGAGCAACATTGCCCCGGCCTGCGTGCGGGCCCACGTGTCGCGGCTGCTTCCGGAAGTGGAATACGGTCGCCTGTTCTCGGTGATGGCCGCCTGCGAGGCGCTGGCCCCCCTGTTGGGGAGGGTGATCTTTCAGCGCCTCTTTGGGGTCTCTCGGGGTTTCTTTGGGGGCCTCTCCTTCATTGTGGGACTGCTGTTTCTGTTGCTGCCACTCGGGACGCTGTTGTACTTTTGGCGCAAGCGAAGCAACGAGTATACTGTACTTGCAGAGGATGCAACGCTTGCCAATCAGTCTGTCGGAGCGTAGGTGCTAGTGCCTCTCTGTTCTCCAAACTGTTTGTTGGGTCATTTATTTATTCAATTTTTTTGTGCTCAGGTTCACATTTTTTTTATCCCTTTCTACTGATTTGTGCACCAGAGAGCTCACCCTTCCCCATTTTGTTGCATTTCACCATAATGTGAAAAGTTTTGCCACATTGCTTTATATATCTTTTTTTTTTTTTTAAGAATGAAACTATTTATATTTTACCACACCGCTGGATATTCAGGTAGACGTGTGCGAATTGTTTTAGACAATCATTTGTCAATTCAAATAAAGCACTATTCAAATTCATACTCTAGGGTTTACAATATATTTTATTCTTCGAGGTCTCTTTTTTTTTTGATGGATTAGTTAGCACCTTTGAGGGTACTCCTCGTGGCACTCAGGTGCGCTGTGGAGGTGCGTCACCTGCAAAGTGAACACTGCAATTTTCACAATCCATGCTGCATTCACAATGCATAGAAAGCTTCACATCAAACACTCCTCTCTCGTCATGTGTGCTTCTAACTTTGTCGTCCCCTCTCTTCATGTCATCGGTAGTCGTGATCCATGCCTCTAACCTCTTGATAGGGGCACCAGTCTGACTGTCGGCCTGACTTCGCTCTCTTTGTCAATGTTTTTAAGTTGGAAATCCAGTGAAATTTTGGAGGTCATTGATTTTAATCCAATTAAAAAGTCAAAGTAATATTTCTTGAGAAGATATTGAAGCTTTATATTGGGTACGTATTCATCTTTACTGGCAACACTAAAAAAGTAAGGGTAGATGTGGGTTCAGGTTCACTATTTTGGCAATAGCACTACTTGTTCACAAGTGATTATAAAAAGTTTGATGGTGTGCAGTGAATGCTGTGGAACCCCTCTCCGGGAGCACAAAACACTGCACATATTGCATTTCTTATGACTACCTGCACACCCTGCAAATTTTACAGCAAAACTTCATGCCACAAGGAAGCACGGGGATATTTTAATGCTTGTGTTGGCATTGCTTACCATTTCCTTAAGTCTTAATCTGATTTTTAGGCACGTGGAAATAGTGGATTTTGAGAAGCAAATATTGGTTTTGTACGAATATTTTCGAATCTAATATTGATTAGTTTCTCCGTGCTTAATGGGGTACGGAAACGAAATTTCGTGGCCGCAACTCTACCTCTCTCCAAAATTGGCCAGCGAGGAGTGCAAAGCGTATCACTCCCGTGACGTCAGCTTGAGGGAATCAGTAAGAAAGAACCGTTGGTACCCAGCAATGGCAACACCTGCAAGCTATTTATGGAAGTACAGTGTAATGGAAGGTATTCACTGGGTGCCATAGTTGAGCGCATTGGAGCGCATCCCCAAAGGGGAAAGAGGTGTCGCGAACCGGTGGAGGTTCGAGTTCGACTCAGGTTCGACTGCTATGCACATGCGCGACAGGCTGGCCAGTTGGCTTCGGATTGGGTGGTGATGGCTAAGGCAGAACTAATTAGTTATTTCAGTTAATACAGTACAAAAATTAAATAATTAAGTTTTTTTAGTGATTAGAATTAGTTTCTTTTAATCGCAACTGTTCATAACATTAAAATAACCTTTCGCATAAAAAAAAAATAAAAAAAACTCGAAACTTAGACATGCTTGTATCAAGGTCCACAGTGTCCACGAAGTCGAACCGGTCGATTCTGGTTATAGACCTTTTCCACAAGGGTGCCGCCATCTTGAATTGTCGTCACTTCCAGTATGGGCGAAAACATTACTTTGCCGTCGCCACGCCAAAAGAAGACATTTGGGATATAAGCCTAACCGTCACACATTCTCGTTTTGGCTCCCCTCTATTTTTTTATTGGTTACAGGTTGAAACGTTTTACTATTTTGTCGTCGCCCATACTGGAAGTGACGACAATTCAAGATGGCGGCGCCCTTGTGGAAAAGGTCTATAAGTATGGTGAATATCACTGGTTCTCAGCCATGGATGTGTCGGGGACCCCTTGCGGACCGCACCGAGTGATGGGGGACCCCTTCCAGCCGGGGGGGGGGGGGGGGGGGGGAGGACGTTAGTAAGTTAACACATCTGGAGCATGAAACAGGAGCCTTTTATTGCTACGTAGCAGAAAAGCAAAACAAAGGTGCCACATCACTTCATTTTGGTGAGTTCATGCAAACGTGCCAACCAAAAAAAAAAAAAAACAATTTGTTGAGGGTCTCGCGGACCCCCATTTGAGAACCACTGGTGTATATTATAAGTTCAAAGGTTCGTCGATTGGTTCGAACCAGTCGAACCCCGAAAGGTCGACCTAAAAATCCGGTTTGACAAATGTTAGCGACACCCCTAGTTATGGCTGGCTTGGCAGAGGTTCTCGCATATTCAGATCAAGCTCCTACCTAACGTCTGCAAATAACGGCCATCTTTATAATGTGGAATGCACGTTGCGGAAGCTTTGTGGAGAGAAGCTCCTCCCGCGAGTGCGCGTGATGCGTCCGTTTCAAATCCCTCCGCAGTCGAAAGAATAGTTCGAAGGAAACGCCCCTTGATCCGCAACTTGTCTCCGACCCCCACTTTTTAAGAAAGCGACCTTTGTATTCATCGGAGGGGGAACCGAGCCCCTGAAAGCCTTTCTATCCATCGGAGGGGGAACCTAACCTCCGAAAGTCTTATTTGTTTCCATCAAAAACTCTAATCTCCGTCTCGTGGCTTCCTCAACACTAAATTAAAGTCGAAAGATAAGGCAAATATTTACAGGAAGGCAAAACCCTCCTCCTGCGTTGGCCGCGACGTCACGAAGGCGATGGGACGCTATTGGATGTGGAGGTGGCAGAGGGGTGTATGAACCCCTTCGCGGGGCATTTGCCGCTACCTTCTTGACCTGTGTACAAACGCTATCATCATCATCCCACAAGGGTACAGTTTGTTTATGCCCGCAAATCTAAAAATGGTAAGGGTGCAGGCGAGCTGGTGAATGTTAACCATGTTGAATAAACCTGGGACTGGGGCAGAAATGTCTCAGGTTTATTCAACATGGCTAAAAATGGTATTGTAGCATAAATATTGGCAAAAAAAGAAAATGTTTTCGACGAGTATTTTTTTGGGGGGACATGCCACCCTCCAGGTAGGAAAAAAAATTTTTTTTTTAGGTTTAAATGAAAATCTAGCTCAACTCGTGAAGGTTGTTCCTAAGCTTCCACTTGTCCAGTCCTAAGCTCAGTTAACTTTAATTTACGGTAACTATACGTATGTATGAACTAGAGCCTGAGAACGTCTAGCGATACATGTAGTGGCAAGTAAAGGACATTTGACGCGAAATTAAACCTAGATATGCTCAGCTATACCTAATTGTAGATACTTATAAATATTCTTGTTCAGTATCCTTTTTTCAGTATCAAAATTAAACGAAACAAAAACTTCGAATGATAAGCATCCACATTTTAATATTAAAATTGTACTAAAATGTCGATATCAACATTCACAAAGTTCTCGTTTATTTTTGAATACACCAGAGACACTCACCACGCGCTTTAAAGACGATTTTCTCCTAAGCGCGTTGCTGCGCTGCGGCAAAGCGAGGATCGCGGGATTGCAGTGTCGACTCCCGCAGGTATTGCTTCTCCGCAATGTACCGGTGCTCGGTAAGAAGTGCACTCAACGGGGCTAATCCGCCGCGATCAACACTTCGAAAATTACCAGTATTGCAGTTCCCTCGAAGCGAATATCGAATAGCGTATTAACATAGAATGTGTTTTATCAGCCGAATCTCATGAAAATCTGTAACGTACTGTACTGTACCAAAAAAAAAAAAAAAAAAAAAAACCCAAACTTATTAGGTACGGTCCGCCATGATTTACTTGCACCTGTGCAGAAAAGTGTAGCGCAGTGGAGAAAATTGCAGGGCAATGTGAAAGAGTGGCCGGCAAATCGAATGATCCCTCACCCTCAGTATATGCCCGTAGGGAACCATTAAAGAGGGAAGTCCCTGGCAGGACTTGAACTCGCCAGCTTGAGATGGTGAGCAAAGTGCTTTACCGACTGAACTATCAAAAAGAAATGCGTTTGTCCTCGCATGCAAGAGCACGAGCTTTCCATCTCGGTACCTATTACGAAGGAAAGTATGGCAATTTCAGGGGTGGTCCATTTTGATAAATTCCTCTTTGCCTGCGCCTTGCTGCGCCAACACACAAATTTCTCCAAACTGCCCCCCAAAAGAGCTAATCAATCCCTAAACAAATCTTTTTTTTTTTTTTCTCTTTTTTTTTTTAGGAATGGTGTTTGGCTGTCAATCTGGTAGGTGTGGCGTTTTCGACTGAGAGCCCGGTGGAAAATAGCCATCACAATCCGATCCAGTCTTCGAGCTAAGTGGCATTATTGGGCATTATTGTGTTGCGACCCTTGTCATAAAGGCCACTGCTAAGTCCTGAAAATAAGCAAACGTAATTCTTTTGCTTTTTTTTTTTTTTTTTCTGTTTGCGCGTAGTAAGTTAGAGACTTCATAGTAGAAATCCGCTCGGACGCTCGTTCACCGGCAGACCAGCGGTATCAACACCGAACACGTGGTTCTCTTTTCGTTCGCGCGGTCGTTGCTTGTTGCGAATAACGAAAAGGAAAAAGCCTGACAGCGCACAAGCTCATGCTGACAACTCGCATGACAAGTGCCGTGCGTTGCTGAAAAGGGCGGAAGAGGCCATTGGTGTAGGACTGAAATGCCAAAGCTTGGAAAAAGTGGAAGGTGGCCAAATTATGGTGGCTCAAACCGATGCCACTTTGTCACACGCTCTTTGTGAGCTGGGCGAACTGGATTATACGTATAAGAAATGCAAAAAGCATTGAGTTGATGCTTTTTTTTTCTCTCTTTATTTGTGTTTTGTAGCCATAGAGTCAAAAGGCAAGAAGTATTAAGTAATATTTTTGTTTTCGTCTGTGAAGGAGGTAGAGAAGCCCGACATGCTGCTTCGGAAGGCATAAAAGAATGCCCTGGGACTGCCGGAATGTGCAGCTACTAAAGGCTACTTTAGTTGGGAGTACACAACACTTTTGAGGAGCTGGTCAACGCCCAGATTGAAGCGCAAATCAGAAGACTTGGAGGAACAGAGAGCGGTCGCTGGCTACTCGACAAGCTGGTGTTGGCGAACCCGGACGCCGCCTCCTTACGACAACAGATCGAGCTGGGCGATCATAGTCGAGCTGGTGTTCGAAGAAGTAGAATTACGAGGAACATAAACCCATCACGGGACGCGGAAAGGCGTATGGCAAGGTCCGAAGCCCTCGCTCGGACCTGGGATAGCCGACCAGGCACCCTCTACGTCGACGCCGCGGGACCTGTTGCTGGGGGGGTGGCCACGGCAGCCGTGGCTACCTCGGACGGGAGCAAGTTCGTAACGGAAGCATCCTTCAGAATGGCTTGTGTTACGGAAGCCGAAGTGGTGGCCGTCGCACTGGCCATCACTTGCAACCCAAAAGCAACTATAATATCGGACTCTCAGGGCGCCGTTCGCAACTTCGCCGCGGGTTCCGCGGGGGAGGTGGCGGCCGGACTACTGAGAAGGCACCCCCCGCAGGCGGTTTACATTGGTCTCCTGGTCATATGGGGCATCCAGGAAATGAGGCGGCTCACGCCGCGACCTGAGATTCTCTTCCGAGCCGGAGCTCTATTCCTGCCGCAGGCGTGGAGGACAGGTGGTCGTACTCCAGACGTCTACTGGACGTCCGACTAGCACGTAAGAAATTTCCAGCACCGCATAAGTCCCTAAGCAAGGAAGGCGAACACACCCTTTGACGGCTAAAGACGGATACATTTCTCACCCCAGACAAGCTATACACCTGGTACCCGGACAGATACGCGTGGGCAGCCTGCGCGTGGTACGGGTGGCAAGAGGCAAACACACACCACATGGTGTGGGTCTGCAAGAAGAACGAAGAGACTTCACAATGTGAAGCAAGCAAAAGGAGCGGCATGCGGCGCTCGCAAGCGAGGACCTGGTTCAGCAACAGATGCTAATCCGGCGGGCCAGGGCGGCGCAAGCAAATGGAGTCCTGGAATAGGGTCATATACAGATAACTTGTACTTCTTCTCTATCTCTTTCGACCCATAACCCCTTCCGCTCTCTCCTGCCTTTGTGCAATAAGAATGTTTTGAACAACAACAACAGCCACACGATAATTGTCATCCTTTTATTTGTGGAGTGCAAAGAAATAGCTTTAAATTAACTGCATCCATGCGAAATTTCACGCACGGCGCCCCCTGCGTGCTATCCCGTGCAGATGCGCGCGGAGCTAGCTTTGGCAGACTTGCAGCCCCACGTGCTTGCCCACACGAGTACAGACACGACAGCGGGCGGGTATGTCGCGCTTGCAATTGGGTATATATAGGTATGTTTTGATAGAAGTCGCGATACACGTAACTCCGATATATTTTGGCACGACTAATTGTAATACTATCTTCAGTGCAATGCTGGAGTACCTTTGACAAATCCTGTACGTCGCTGCCCCCTAGACATAAACTTTGGGGTACACTACGCGGATGGCTGCAGACCGCTCTCTTGTTCCTTTACGAGCCGCCACTGATTGTATCGAGGAAAAGTGCGCACTTTAGGAAAAAAAAGAACGAAGAGAGTTCGCCGGAAAGCCAAGTTGGAGCTGTGTCTCATGTACCTAAGGACGCCGTGCGGTAGTGCGCCGATCCTGCACACAACACGAGGCGCGTCTCGCTGGCAGCAACGTCGCGTCGACTGGGTCGACTGGCCGGCCTCAACTGCGGTAGTAGAAGACGGCTGGACACCTGTGTCCCTTGAGGGAGCGGGCAAAGGCCATGACGGTCATCTTGTCCGTGACCAGCTTGGACCAGTTGTTGCGCAGCCGGTTCTGCAGCCTGGTCTCCTGGGGCGACTCGGAGCTTCCGCTGTCTGCCGGCGGCGCCTCCTCAGCCTCGGGATGCCCTGCTGGGGCCCCCGGGGGCTCTGTCCGTGCCTGCTCCTGGGGCTGCGGCCCGCAGGAGAGCGCCTCGAACACAACCCGGTTGCTGGACCGCGCCCTGCTCCCCGCCCGGTGGCTCTTGGCGTCGGGCAGGCGCGGGGGCACGCCCGGCTTTTTACGTCGGATGGCCATCGCCCGGCCTGCGTGAGACCCCGACCCTAATTTGGCTGCTCGAACTCTAAAAATGAAGAGAAAAAAAAAAACGAAATGGGAAGTATTTTGGTTATATGTCGGACAATAGCGAGTTTTAGTAGACCGTGTTTCCCCCTCCGCTCAGCCCCTCCGCTACCCGGAACTCTACAGCCAAGGTCATCGGCGCGCAGGCGCAGTGGTGGTTTCTTCGTTGCGGAGGGGAAAACACGGTCCACTAAAACTCGCTAATATTGTCGGGGGTATACGTTTTTGGGGAGGTAAACTTCCGTGGCAATCGTTTATGCGCCGAGACTCATGCCGCGAAGCTCCGTCGAGAACGCCATTGGTTGTTGTTAGGGTCATATGATCCATACTAAAGTGGCAACAACAACCAATGGCGTCGAGAACGCCATTGGTTGTTGTTATGGTCATATGATCCAATTGGTTACCCGGATTCTCAATCGGATTAAATTTATTCTGGGGCAGGCATGTACACGTTACCAAAAAGTAACTCGTTACTAGTTTATAAAGTAACTAAATACGTGAATCGTTACCGCTTCTCAAAAGGAACGCGTTACGTCACCTCCAAAGTACCGAGATACTTTTTTCGTTACTTTGACGGCCAAATACAAAACTGCTTTTGTTTTCTGGTTTGTTGTCTGTTTTTTAGTAGTCGCTGCATTAATTAAGCAGTAGTGGCTGCCTCTCGAAGTTTTCATCAGTTACGTTTCCTTGAGAATACATCTCCGGCGACGCTGAAGAGTCGTTCTACTGACGCGCTCTAAGAAACGGCGGTGTTGTGCTTCAAGAAGAGCTGGTGAATCTGGGATTCCCCTTTCTCTTTTGTTCTCTCTGCACCTAAAGCTCCAAGTTGACAAGGGGTTCTCAGCCTTCCCGTGTTGGCAGCAACCTCCGGGTTTGCATTCGATCTGTGCACGATTCTAGAAGGTTCAACCAACAAAGCTTATTGTGTTCGCTGGATGAAGGACATTCCCAGCTGTAGAGTTCGACTGACGTGTTCAGCGATTAACGCTGCTACACTGTCATACTGTTTAGTTTTTTTGTTCGGGTTGCCCATCTGTCTTTGTCGCAATAGACGCACACTCGGGTCACAATTAAAACGATGCTGTATAAACGGTGTTGTAGACATTACTCTTCGAAAACAACGAAATACCGTTCCTCGTTACTTGACCTTACAAGTGTAACTAAGCACGTTGCTTCTTTCCTTTATTAAAAAAAATAGCTAAATACGTTACTCGTTACCGAGTAACTAGGTAGAAGGAACTCGTTACTATAGTCCGTTGCAACTTAAAAATGTAGGACGAGGGAAAGCAAGGCCGGGGAGGGGGAAGCAGACGGAACGCTGGACAAGAGAGGGGGAAACCTCTTCTCTTGAGTGTTCCGTCTGCTTCCTCCTCCCCGACCTTCCTTTCCCTTGCCTTACCTTCTTGAGTTTGTTACGTACATGTCTGTTCTGGGGAGGGGGGATAGGATAGCTGTTTGCCAACGAGGTGTTTGCGTAGAAAAATATGCCGGGAGGTCGGACTCATGTGTACCGAGTCAACTAAATCCAGTAAATATTTCAGACGGTGGTCAGGTGACAATCACGCTAATGACGTTACGTGACCACTGCCCGCTAAATTTGGATGGTACTGCGAAATATGTTGCGTGTGACGGTTATTCGTGCCGCTTTCTTGTAACGATGGACGGTGCCTCCACAGAGCCACTCGAGGTGCATGCATGTGCTTTGCACGATGTACGGGGAAAACTTTTTCCGGAAACGACCGCAGCTCACAGGTAAGCGGAAGCGCGAATTTTGTTGAGGAACGTTCTTGAGAAAACCGGTAGCAGAGACACAAGAGAGTTAACGAAGCAGAGAGGAAAACATAGGGTGCTGGTTTTCAATCTAATATCAACTTTGGAGACTGTTGTGTTAGACGGGGAGCAAGGACAAGACTATTCTCTGTCGAGCAGACAAAGTTAATTTCTTGTCATCTTCGAGCCCGCATACTTAGAGTGAGTTGTCTTCGCTCTCTAAAGTATTTTTCATGATTTCTTTCTTCTTAAAGTACCGGAACTCATACTCATTATTGTGCCATCGCGCGAGATGGCATATGTCATGATAGAGGCCTGAAGAAAATTAAACAGCAGAGTATAGCGGCAGCTCGGTTTAGTGCTGCGGGGCGGGATTGTACGGGGCACGCGTGCTTCGTTAATTTTCGCGTTTGTTCTCTTTTAGAGCTAAAACACGCAAAACCCGTAAAAGAAAGCATCATATTTTTTTTATTTTTTTTTTTGCAATGAGTTTCTATTAGGATTAACTGCTCTCAAGATTAAACTATTATCGCATTAAAATTGATTCAAATGTGCATGTTATGCATGATTCAAAATAAGTTTCCTTGGAAGGCTGTTTTTATTTTCGGTAAGTCACACACACCAGCACACAAGCACAACACACACACACGCGCACGCACGCACGCATACGACACACAGACACAAACGCACGCATATACAGAAACAAAGTATCGATTCGGTGCCTCCTCGTCATCTGAGCGGACAAGAAATGGAGTCACGAGGCCATATAGCCTTTGCGTCAATCCGGCCCACCAAATCTCCTCCAAGTTACACGGTCATCAGCACGAGTTGCGAGTAAATCACCTTAGCGTCTACCAAGAGTCCCAGTTTTGACGGAGTGAAAGGAATCTGGTGAAGGTGTCGTCAGCCCGTGTTCCCGAGTAAAGGCGGGTTCACAGAGCACCGATTTCTTACTTTGCATTAAATTACCAGAGCTGACGTCCTCACGACGTGATTGACCGAAACATCCGTGCTTTTCTACGAAACAGTTGAAGGAGTATAGCCTTGCGCATGCGACATTCGAGGCACGGATGTTCCGGTAACTTATGATAACGTAACGTCACAAAAACGTAACCAAACGCTCCTGTGGGAATGGGCTTTATTGCAAACATCTATGGCATCCAGTGAACACACCCTATACGGTGATCGAACCGGCATTACACTGTCAGCTGGCCGCAGCGTGCACGCGTCTCCCCGGCGCTGCCAGGAAGGAACTGAGACATTCCCGGGCCACACTTCACGCCGCTGGAACTTTTTTTAGACGTGGGAGGCGCGTGGCTCCGCGTACCCGACGAACATTAATCGCGGCTAGCGTCCGATGCCCGCGAAGCGTAAGAAGAAGGGCTAAGCGAGGCTCACCTGAGGCGAATGCGCTGGACGAGTAGGCCTAGACGCGGACCGGGAAGTGACGCGGAGCAGGAACCCTGGGCCCAGATCGGGCCCGCAGCCAGCGAAGACCACTGGGAGCCCTTCCAAAAAAAGCACTCCCCGGGGTCCGTTTGGGAGCCCGCCGGATTCGCTCTCCAGATGGCCGACGGAGGGGAGCGACATTTGTTTTTCTCGCCCCGACGCGGAAGGAGCGCTCCTCTCGGGGCCCGGGGTTTCGACCAGTGGCCCAGCCACCACGGGGGGTCGGCGGGATGCTCGGCTCGATCTTCCACGCGCCGGCTACGGAGGCTGCTTCTCGATCTGCTTCGGGCGTGGATGTCGAGCCGAAAGGTTCGTTGGAATGAAAGAGATCGGCATATACGCGTGGTACTGTATACTTAGAGACCTCTATTTGTTTGGCCATACTTGCCAGGGAAAGGTAGGAGTAAAACGGAAAACGTAATGGAGGAATATAGTGATTTACGCACTGGTGCACGCATCCGGATTCAGTCCTACGCACGCACCCGCAAAAGTGTTTTGGGCTAAAGCCATTTTGATGCAGTGAAGTTATTTCTTCTAAATTATTTCCGCATTATATCAACAACAAAAAGAAAGGGGGAGGGGGTTGCTTGACACAAAAATGAATAAAGTTCTCTTCTGTTTTTTTGTGTTTTTTCTTGTTTGGGGGGGGGGGGGGGGGCTTTGTTTTGCGAGCGTTTCATATATGTGGATAAATCATGCCGTGGCGTGTTTTCTATGGATGCATTCTATGGATGCACACGGACGCATGTGACACTTGTGGCTCCTGACGTGATTGGAGATTGTTTCCTGATAATGCGAAATATACAAAAGTTTAGACCGCGAGGATGAGGTGCTTAAGAAATCGGTATAGACCAGGGGCATCAATAGCCAGGAGGGTTCTTGAAGTTAAAGCTGCACTTGACTCAGCTAAAATGTAGTTAGTTTAGAAATCCGCCAAGTGGCAACGCTCGCAACTACAGTACCCTTGGCCGTGCAGGAGCCCTTGACGTCACGAGTGCGGTAATCACTGGCCGATTTTGAAGCGAGAGGAGACAACATAGATCATTTCGTTTTTTATTTGAATTTATTTACTACAGACTAAGCGAGCCCAAAACCTATGGAAAAGACCATTTGAATAATTTTTGGCCGGCATTAATTCCTCGATAATTAACTTTTTTTTTAATCGTAGTCCCACGGTTTCTTTTTGCTTAGATGAGATTCAAAATGAATAAGTGACCATGAGACTCTTTCATAGTCACCTGTTTATTAAATTGAGATTCGATGTATGGATGTCTAACGAGTCCAAAGCCGGGGTCCCACTGCTCATACCATCATACAAAAGACAGTCTGCAAAAACGAACCTCGGAGAATCCGAAGTTCGAATGCCGCGGGCCAAGATTCTCCTTGAACTCACTGCCGTGCGGCATTCGAAGCACGGATCTCGCGGTGACTCGCCTTCGAATTTTTATGGAGGCTGTCTTAAATGTTCGAGTTGAAAAATTCGATGGTGGACTTTAAGGCACGATATTTCGTGTCGTTGGATATTCAGACCGGTTAGCGATTCCGTCTCGATTGAATCTTTTGTCTCGTTGGATATACAGACTTCTTCAACGTTACTTCTCGTTCAAACCTTCCCTCTCGTTAGATATTCTGTCTCCATTTGACCTTCCGTCTAGTCGGATGCTCAGACCCGTTGGACATTCCGTCTGAATTAAAACTTTTGTCACGTTGGATATACATATTTTTTTTTTATATTCCAGCCAGTTCAAACTTTCAACCTGCTAGATATTTCCTTTCTATTTGATCTTCCGTCTCATTGGACGTTCAGACCCGCTGGACATTCCGTGTCGATTGGAACTTTTGTCTCGTTGGATATGCATACTAGTTCGATATTTTATCTAATTCAAACCTACGATCTCGTTGGACATTCCGTCTGAATTAAAACTTTTGTCACGTTGGATATACATATTTTTTTTTTTTTTTTATATTCCAGCCAGTTCAAACTTTCAACCTGCTGGATATTTCCTTTCTATTTGTCCTTCCGTCTCATTGGACGTTCAGACCCGCTGGACGTTCCGTGTCGATTGGAACTTTTGTCTCGTTGGATATGCATACTAGTTCGATATTTCATCTAATTAAAACCTTCGATCTCGTTGGATAATTGATTTTTTACTTGAACTTCCGTTTCGTTGGATGCTCAGACTTCATTGGATATGCAAACTTGTGTGATATTCCATCTCCTTCAAACCTTCCATCTAGTTGGATATTTCTTCTCTCTTTGAACTTCCGTCTCGTTGGATGTTTAGACCCGTTGTACATTCCGTCTCGATTGAACCTTTTGTCTCTTTTGCCTCGCATCTGCTCTGTTCTGTTTCGATCTCTTGGAATTTGTGGACGCCAATATGTACGTACTACGTCCTTAGCGTGTCACTGCACGCGTATGTATACTCTGAATGGCCTTACTCAGTGGGCACAGAATAATGGTTTAAGGTTTTCCGATTGACACGAAAATCGTTGTCCGAGGCACGGCCAGAATTTTATCTTGGGAGCAAAGGTCCAGGAAAAAACAGAGCAGAGATTCCTGCTAATTAAATTTTAGCATAAGCTGCGCACCGCACCTTTGAAAGCTTAATGTAAGTTTCATTCAGCATTCCGGTATTCCTTAACAACTGACGGGCATTGTGCGGTGTATAATGCGAACCACTACTAAGGGTTTATTGAGCGCTGGTCCACTAAAAATTGTACTCTCGATTAAATCAATACAGTATGACTGGTCAAGGCCATCGAGAATGCGACCCTTGGATACCGTTCATCACGCTGAAAATTTTGTACCTGTGCCTTACTTTCGAGTACGAAGCCTATATTACTGCGCGCACAGCTGACCAAGGCAGCGCGCCCTTGGCCTCGATTCTCTCGCCGGCGCTCGCAGTGTGCGGACGGTAGGACGGCAGGCTCCGATGGAGCAGTGATAACGGCCCCCGCTGGCCGCGGTTTTTCTGCAAGTAATGACTATAAGATAATTCTGCCCCTTCTGCCTTCTGAAGCAGTCACACTCAACTCTTTATTACTGCATTGCGACGTTACCGGCAGACCGTATCGGATTGACGATTTCTGAGAAGCCTTCGAACGACTGGAACTTCTGGGCGACGTGGCGTCATTCGGCGCCTACCAGATGAATCATGTGTGGCTAGCCACCTTCCATTCAACGAAAGCCAAGGACCGCCTCCTCGCGTCGCAGGAACTGCCCATCAAAGGCAAGCGGTGCGTCCTGATTGATCCGAAAAATTCGGAGATTCGCCTGAAGATTCACTGGCTCCCTTACCATGTATCCGACGACACGGTTCGCCGAGCCCTGGAAAAGTACGGCAAAGTGCATGAGGTAGTCCGCGCGATGTGGCGGGCCCAAGGATTCCAAGGCGTGCAGTCTACGACTAGGCTAGTCCGGATAACGCTGAAGGAGGGCGTAACCAAAGAGCGCATCCCTCACCAGCTCCGCTTCTTCGGCGGCACGGCCCACGTCTCGGTGCCCGGTCGCGCCCCGCTATGCCTCCGATGCGAGCAGACGGGGCATATATCAGGAGGGACTGCCGCATTCCTCGCTGTGAGGTCTATCACCGGTTCGGCCACACCAAGGCGGACTGCGTCAGGTCGTACGCAGCGGCCACGGCCGGCCCGCGTTTCGTCGAGAACTCCGACCTGGTGATGGATGAAGGGGAGGCGGAACAAGCTGCCAGCGCAGACACCCATGAGAGCACCGTACCCGGGACATCGAGGGCCGGTGGACTGCCTGAAGCCGCCACCGGGACCCCGTCTCCTGAAGTCGAGCGCCCTTTAGACGCTCCTTCGGAGACGTCCCGGCGCAGCGACAAGGCGAGGCCCGCAACCGAGACCGAGGCCACGGAGGAGCCGACCATTGACGTGGCAATGCAGCACAGGTCGGTACAGAACTTTGTGACGCTGGTCGACTCGGCCCAGGACGCTGAAGGAATGGAAGTAGCAACTACCTCAAGCAAGCGACACCTCGAGCAAGAGAACAGTGCCGAGGAAGAGCTTGTCGGTGAACCGGTCCAACAACGCTGGAAAGCCAACTCGACGAAGCCCGGACGGCTAAGGCCGCCCAAGTCACGGACCCCTTCGGACAACCGAGATGAAAAGGCCTCTTAGCGGGTCAACCGTCCGAACTTTCTTCAGCGTCAAAAAGGGTCGCACCTCAAATGTTACGGTATGCGCGGTTTTCTCGTTCCCCTCTCTGGCTCGTAGTTTCGTGTGGGTGGGTTTTGGGGTCGTGTCACTTACATGCTCACGATGGGACAGTTAAAATTTGTAACATTTAATTGTGTTAGTCTGATAGATCGTAAACGAAAGCAATGGGTCTTAAATGAGCTGCTGAGGCAAAATGCAGATATTGTGTTTTTGCAAGAAACGAAGCTTGCCAGCAGCTCACAGGTGCAAGAAATGGTTTGCTTTCTGGAGCGACACTTCAGCTTATTTCATTCAAACGCTATCGCTCATAGCGGAGGGGCGGCTATTCTTATCCGTAAAAAAAGTGCTTTCAGTATCCTACCAGAGTGGGAAAGTGCTAAGAACGGCCGGATCTGCGCAGTGGAACTGCTGTTTCATCGCGAACTGTACACAGTAGTCTGTGTTCACGCCCCCGATTCGCCCGTCGACCGTAAATCTTTTTTTATTAGTCTGCGGCAATACTTAGACACGCCGGCCAACACGATACTAGCGGGTGATTTTAACTGTGTCTTAAATGCAGGAGACTGTTCAAACGGGTATAAAACCGACTCCAGCCTTGGAGAGCTAAGGAAACTCTTACGGGACTTTGACCTTCAGGACGTAACAGAGACGGTGATGGCACCGACCCCCGGCTATACCCATTGGCAGGGAAATTGTCATTCGCGTCTGGATCGAGTGTACGCGACAAGTGAATGTCTGACAAGTGCCAAAGCATACGCGGTCACCCCCGTTGCATTCTCTGATCACGCATTGGTATCGGTTAGGTTAAATAGAACCAAACCCAAAGCAAAAAAAAAAAAAATACTCCGGGTGGAGTACATGGAAAATGAATGAGAGTTTGCTTGAGGATGAGCCACTT